AGGAATGCCCCCTTCCATCAGTGGCAATGGTGGACAGGAGGAGCAGGAGCCACCACCATGTGAGCCACAGGACAGCAGGTGGCTGGGCAGGGGTTTCATGGGTCCTCCCATTTGTGAGGTATAGTTTCCCAGATAATTTAAAGGAAAAGGCAACAGCAGGAACTGGTATAAATTGAGTTATTTCCTGTCCTCAAGCACAGTAACCATGCAGTTATGCATGCACCCAAATATGGTGAAGGGGACCAGAAACAAGGATGTGTCTGTGCTGCCAGTATAAATACGTTCTAGCAGGGAGATGGAACAATACTCAGTAACTGGTTCAGAGAGTTTCTTTCAGTGAACTGGAACTGAACTTTGAACAAGAACCCTTAAACACAAACAGTGGGAATCAATACAAAATAAAAGAATCTCCTGAGTGCCTGGCTATTGATTCTCCTGATGGGTGGTACAGGCATATCTCTGCTACAGCTATATTTGGAGACAATTTATTTCCTAGCGAGCCATTTGAAAAGAGGAGGAGCAGAAGAGACTGGTTGGCAGAACCTAGGACTGGCAGTCCTCCTGGTGCTGCAACAGAAGCTTCCCTCCTCACAAGCTGTTGGCCAGTAAAAAGGCCTCAGGGTAGAGGGTTCTGAAAGCCTCTTGTATATCCTTGGCACTGCACTTCCTTCTTGCCACCATTTTACTGTATCTAAAGAGGGTAAATTGTTTCCCATTTTTGCTAAGTTAGTGAGGCTTCTTGAACAAAAAGAGCCATAGGAGGTGATGTTTTAAAAAGGAATGGCAGCTGTGAGGAGGGAGAGGAAAGGATGGGGTAAGATCATGTTTAGCTGTTTTAAGCTGTTTAATAAATTAATTGCTTTGTTGTTTTGCCGAAAGCCTCCCTTGGATGGCTAGGCCTAAAGTTTAGTCTTTACTTTTGGTCTGTGTCTGAGACTTTCCTTCTAAAACAGTGTAACTCTATATTAATGTTTAGGGTGGAGGGTTTTTTTGTTTTGTTTTTATGTTTGCAGATACATGCAGAAGCATAGGGGTTTTTATTTTCAAAATTGTGTTCAGTATAAGCAAAGTAATGTTAATAAAGACGAAGACCTAGGGAAGAAAATGAACTGTAATGTTGTTGATATTCCATATAGTTCAATAACTAGTTTATACACCAAGAAATGGTAAACAAAGCTTTAAAAAAAATAAAGTAAGCAATAAGCTTTGATTCTATCCTGGAAGGAAAATCTTCTTTTAATAGCGGCCAGAGTGGAACATTTTTGACCCAGCTACCTGGTCTCAGGCAACATAACCAAGTGATTCATAAAATAATCAAGTTAGAACTGCTAAATGTTTCCACTCCCACCTCACATTTCAAATTGAGCTCCCAACTCATTTTACAGACTTACTTTGCAGGCAAATAATGTGAGAATATTCTTCATGAAATGTATTTAAAGCAGTCCAGTTACTGGACACGGTTAAAAAATACAGCTGAATTTGAACCAGAACTGAACTCAAATGTGTAATGGTTTGGCTCCTGCCTTTCTGGAGCTGTAGTATAAAAATTGGAATGGATCACCTGAGAGTGCTTTGGGAATGGGCCCGTGATATAAAACAGCATGACATACAGCAATGCCGTATCACATGCTGGACAGCTTTAACAACTTACACCTTCCAGCAAGGGAGAACCGGGTCATCCCCTTGAGTAGAACCTGAATGTGAATTGATATTGGATACAGGTAAATTTCTCTCTGCAAAATTGCCTGGTCATTCCCGGAGATGCGTGTGTTCCAACACATCCCTGACACAGCCTTTTTTTTTTTTTTACTGAAAGATATGCAACAAAACAGCAAAGATAAAAAACGCATTACAGGCAAACAACAGAATATGAAGTGAAAACAGAACTGTAAAATCCAAGAATAGACAAGGAGTAAACAAGATACCCCCAACACATTCCACAGAATAACCGCTGCATCCATCAACATCAACCCAGAGTGGGATTAACTTCAGCCCTCTCCTGACACAGCCTTAATGTAGAGGCTGGTAGGTAACACTGATTGAAAAGGATAGCCCTTGAATACAAGAGATGTTTATTTCCATTCATGAGGGAAATGCCAACAACAACAAAATCATTCTTAGAGAAATTGAAATACAGCTGGGTAAACAACTAGTTCACTATAAACTGCATCATGGTAATCATGTACATGTTGCTCTTCTGTACACTTGAATAATGAACGTTCTCACATAATGTTACTTCTGAGACTATTTGGATGCCAGTTTCCACTCAGAGCTTAAATATACTCAGTATTCAGTGTTCATATTCTTAAATGCCAAAAGACAAAACTTTAAATGAACTCTAATGTGTCTTTGGTTTTTATGCAGGAAACATTCTGGACTCCTTTGCAGTGCATTTTTTTAAAGCATGAAATTAAGATATTATGTTGCAAATAAATAAGAGCAAAGTTTTGAATAAAACTTTAACTAGTGTTTAATAAGCTACAATCAAGTTGGCTCTGATGAAGCATTTTCCAAACCGGGCTTTGTTCTACAATCTGTGTTTTTGCCATTAGCATTCTATAGCGAACGCTGTCCACGTGTGGTTTTGATGTGGTCTTTTGAGGGGAAAAGAAATACGACAAATTATATTAATAATTTACATTATATGTTAATTACATAAATAGAACATTCATTGATTTAGCTCAGCATTGTCTGTGCTGTCAGGCAGTGGCTCTCTGGTGTCCCCAGCAGAGAGAGAGAGAGAGAAGAGGTCTCAGGATTCTTTTAAACAGGGATGCCAGGGAGAGACTCTGGGACAACTCACATGCAAAGCAGGTGTTCTGCTTTTGACATTCCCTCCTAATTACTGAATTGAGAGTCTTTTCATTTACTCAGTCAAGAACAGTCTTGAACTGGAGCTGAATAAATTCAGGTTTTCTGATTATTTCCCGAATCTCAATACCATACCGATATTGGGAGCAATGCTCCCTCTAAGCTGTAGAGTCTTGCGAGCAAAAATTCTACTTTGTGAGCGACTGGCATTAAAGTTGTGGGCGAGTGATTTGGGTACTGCATAAATTAGTTTGCTCTGGAGCCATGCTTCCTGAGCTAAGACAAAAATGTGTGAGCCGGAGGCTAAAAAACTGTGAGCTAGCTCACACTAACTCAGCTTAGAGGGAACACTGATTGGGATTCAGGAATATCAGGAAATACTGATATTTTTCGGGTTCAATATACCTAAAAATAATGCCTTTTTTTTTTTGCACACCCCTAATGGTTATACAGCCTGGATTTATTTTTTTCTTTCAGACTCATAAAATTGGGAATTACCCCGTTTTGAAATAGTTTTAGCAATTGTAGTTTCAAATAATGTCTTGAAAATATTACTAATATTTTCTCCAGAAGCAACACAAAAGAAAGACAAACAGGACACATCCCATTTCCTAGCATGGCCCCTGATTTCACAGCCAATTCACAGTCCCCCAATGTGACTTTTAAACATGCAAAGCTGGCAGGCTATTACTCCATCTGGCAGATCTGTAGTTGTAAGGAACAGGGCACAATCTAGCTAAACTTAGTAGTAACTTAGTCCCACTGAAAGTAATTGACCAAGAATTATATATAACTAACGTTGGATTGTTTTCAGTGTTAACAGCCAGACAACTTCATGTGGTATTGTTCAGTAATAATTTCAGGCATCATTCTAAATAGAGGCTAACCTCTTGTCAACACCACACACAAACTGTTACATTGGATAATGCAGAAGGAGACACACACACCTTATTTCCTCAGTGCAGAACCAATATAAAGTATGTAGAATGTTTTGAAATGCAGCAATTGTCTACTTGTTATAAACAATTGTTTTTATATAATACTTTAGTGACTCAGCTAGTAAAAGTGTATTCCAAGTTAATTCTCATTGTGCAGTGACTTAATGACTCCACCACAGCATTTCATAGCCAACCACTATAGCCAGTTAATGTACATATACTGAAGGAAATGACTGTGTAGTTGCTTATATGAACAATATTATTTCTAATATCATTCCATATAATTTCTAATATCAATGATGGAATGTCATCTTCCCAAATTACATAAGCAGCCCTGTAAACTGCTTGGCCAGAAACCTGTTAATCTACAATAACCATTTGGAACAATACCTAAGGAGGGACAGAAGAACAGGGACAAATGCTGTTAGCATTGCTCAGAAAGTCTCCACATGACTTCAGGTAGCTAGTAAGCTTTTGGAAGGTATCAAGCTTAATGCTGCAAGTCCACTTTGTGAATGTGATCTAAGGTTATCATGGATTTGCAATGATATATCTGTTTTTAAGGAGTATGGTTCACTGGCTTAATTTTACTTTTCTCACAAGACCAGCTCTATGGAATAGAACAGTGGTCCACATCATGGGTCACTATAGAGCCACCTTTTTTGGGGGGGGGGGGTGCTGCTGCCTTTTTAAAGGGCCTCCTGCTAGTGTATATGTGTAGAGAGCAAGCCATGCCTCTTCCTCTCTTTGCGCGCACACTGAGAATAGAAGCAAGAGGGTGAGGTAAGGTCCCTGGGTGGTAGAGAGGATTTCTCTGACCCTTGAATTATTCTTTGCTAGAGTATACCTCCTGGTGCTAAGTTAGAGTTTCCTGTTCTCAGCCCTCTTGTCTGCTTAGTATAGTCTTGGCCTAGAGACTAATGAGGTCATAACTGACTCCCCCCCCCCCTGCCTCCTGACCTTGATGTCACATGCTTTCCACTGGAGCAACCAAAATATCTACTGCTTTTTAATGTGTATATCCTAAATAACCTCTGCAGAAGTATTTAGTGTTGTTGACCTCACTTAAAACCTTATGTCCTACATGTCATTCATCTACCAACATCCACTTATGTACTTCTATAGCAAGGAATTACTTGAAGAAGGGGGAGGATAAATGACTGAGAAATTCTCTCCCATTTCCAACCCAAAATTCTCTCTCCAAGATACTATAAACTCTTTGGGACTACTTTCCCCATTCCTCATTGTATCTAGCCCTCTTCTCCTTAAAGAGACTCAGCATTCCAGGAACAATTAACCTCCTCAGTTCTTGGAGTAGAATTTTAGAGGATGTCTTAAAAACTAAAAATTTTCTGTATTCCTGAGGGATCGCCCCAAACAAATAAAATAAGTATTAAAAAAACATTGATGAACGTGCTTATATTAATTCAGATCCTTGGCCTATCAAAATCAGTATTGCCTATTCTGACAGGTAGCAGCTCTGTCCAGACCCTCAGGTAAAGGGTTTTCACATCTGCTATGTGGCTCTGTAGAAGCTCCCAGTTCAATCCCCAGCATCACCAGTCAAAGGATCTGGCAATAGGTGATGCGAAAGACCTCTCTGCCTGAGACCTTGGCGATCCACTGCCAGTCTGAGTAGGCAATACTGATCTTAATAGACCAGTGGTCTTGCCTGTGGTTGGCCCAGTTTTGCTGTCTTCATTATTTGCTTGGGGGCCAGCCACTTTGCAATTAGATATATGGCTTTTCCACACCAAGTTTGTGCTGCAGCTTGGCTTCTTAGCTGCATCAGTTTTTCCACTCCCTTTCACTCACAGAGCATTGTTTGCCAGGTGTTTCCTATTTTGTTTTGTTTTTAAAGTTTTTCCAATATGGTTTCAGACCACTGTAAAAGGCAGTCTGAAAAAACACAGCAAAAATGTGAAGAAAAATTGGGAGAACAGTGAACGATGCTGCAGGGATTCAGTTAAGAGGCTAAGCTGCACCAAAAGCTCAAAGTGATGATGCTATAGGGTAGTACCTTGGTGAAGTTACCTACACAGCAATAGTCAAGAAATACTGAAAGCAGAAACTACTTGTTTGAAGACATGTCAGAAGATTTTTGTTTATACTAATTATCAGGTAATAAAATACATTCCTGTTTACCTTTGCAACAGTCAGCATAAGTTTAACAGCTTCAGCAGTATTGTGGACGGGGATTATTCGTAAATTGCTGCCCAGGAATCTGAAGAACAGAGTTATCATAAATGTAGGTCATACTAAATACAGTATTTACACTTTTATAGCATTGTCCTAAGTTCTAGCATTATGTAAAAGTATAACTGCCTGCCCACATAAATTTCACATCTGGCACCAAGAAAATATAAAAAATTATCTTCCCAGTTTATTTTATGTATTGATTCCATTTATATCTCGCCCTCCCTGCAAAGGCGAGCTCAAGGTGTACATTTTTAAAATGTAATCTTGATATAGCATTTGGGATTTTGTGAACTCAGGGATGCTGGTGGAAGCCAACAGAGGCCATGGAGGAAGGGAAAGCACAACTAAGGAGCGCAAATGCTTTGATTAAGTCCTGGCCCCCTCCTGTACCCCATACTCATAACTGAGCATTTCTGTCTCTTGACCCTGAAAAAAAAAATCGGCATTTACCACCTTCAGCGCTTAAGCGAAACTGACAATTATAGTTCAACAGAAGTGCAAACAAGTTTACTTTGTGGGAAAGGGTGGGAATGAGTGACAGATAAGGAAGAAGGGAGTGATTTTACTCCCTCCCTCCTCCTTCGTAACTAAGAAGTCCACTAGTCCACAAGGGTCCTGAGACCTTGAGAATAAACTTTCCCAGGCTCAAAAATGGCTGCTTGGAGATACAGAGATACCTGCACAGAGCTCAGTGGGTCTTCTGCTAGATCCAATACTATGATTTGCCTGCTGGTTTCACCTGCATAGGCACTCATTTTATCTAAAAGGACTGTCCTATTTGCTAAAATGTAGTGAATGACAGCAGAAAGGCTAAGAAGGATCATCAAAAAGCTTCTTATTAAAGTTAACAGAAGACCAACGCCCATCAAAAATAGCCATCTATTTCACTCTCATATGCTGCAGCAATTGGCAATGTGCCAAAACTATTAACTAAGCTGATTCTGGTTTTAGGTATCTGGAAATCAAACATGCCATTAGAATAGTCACTCATTTGATGCAGAGAGGAAAATAAACTGCTGCTGGTCTGCTGTCTCTGTGTGCCCACAATTAGCTCTGATGAGCTGTATACAAGATTCCTGGAATCTTCTGGCATCACTGGAGACCAGTGGAAAATGTTTTTTTAAAAAAACATATTGTTTTACTGTTTGATTGTAATAATTTACTTTACTGTGACAGAAATCAGATAACAGTTATCAAATTATGCCAGTAGCAGAAATGAATGGGGCTTGATGTATAGGAAAGGAGATGCAGATTCTTGCAGATTCTATCTTTTGGATATACTGCACACATGAAGATACCTCATGCTGCCCTACTATTGGTCCATCCTGTCTACAATGACCAGCCATGGCTATCTAAGATCTCAGGAAGGAGTGTCTTTTTCTCCAATATTTTACAGATGAAAACAGAGATAGACTTGTAATAAATATCCTTTGACCTAGAATGACTTGGCATGCTTCATCCTTTTCAACATTACATAGGGTTAAAAGCACTTCTCCACTGCTTTCTGGCAAGCGTAGCCTTAGTGTAACCAGCCTGCCCCCTAAAAAAAACCTTGCAGAGGTACAAGGGTTAGGTACCCTCCCCCCCATACCCACAATCACCATAGAAGGCACAACAAGAACCCATAGGCCTAGGTCCTCTCTGTTCAAAAGCAACACACTGAATTACAAGAGCCAAAAACTCCCAGAAGTGTTGCTCAGATCTTGTTTCTGCTGCTTTCTCTGAGGCCATGGTACTTCCTTATCTCCAACTATTATTGATCTTATTTACGTTATTTAGTGTGGAATTTAATGTCTGTTCTAATCTACAGACTCTTCTGTGTGATTATCAGGGCCAAGAATATACACTGATATAATCACTAAGACAATTAGAGCAGATAAGTGGGAACCTACAAGGACTTGCGGGAGGTATCTGATTTCCCACTCCCCCACTATTTCCTGTTCCCCTTTCCTGAAAGCCCCCATAGTTTCTCCCTCTTTCCTACTTCCTTCTAGGGTTGCCAGCTTCCAGGTGGGGACTGGCGATCTTCTGGAATCACAAGAGATCTCCCAACTATAGAGATCAGTTCCCCCTTAGGGTTGCCAGCTCCAGGTTGGGAAATTCTTGAATGGGGATGGAGCCTTGGGAGGCAAGGTTTAGGGAGGGAAGCAACCTCACCAGGGTATAAGGCCATCGATTCCACTTCCAAAGCAGCTATTTTCTCCAAGAGAACTTGTCCTCTGGAGAGCAGTTGCAATTCCAGGTGATCTCCATTCCTCACCTGGAGGCTGGCAAGCCTAGTTCCCCTGGAGGAAATGACTGCTTTGGAGGGTGGAGTCTATGGCATTATACCCTTCTGAGGTCCCTCTCCCCCTCAATCCCCACCATCCCAAGACTCTAACCTCCAAATCTCCAGGTATTTCCTAACCTGAAGCTGGTAACCCTGTCTCCTTCTGAGCCAACCTACCTTTATCTGCTCCTCTGTCTTAAGCGGTCCCTCTCCTCCCACTCCTGGCAGCCTCTGCTGAGGAAAACTCTGGCTGAGGACACAGATCTCAAAGCTATTCAGGCTGCAAGTGTGCTACTCAGTTTCTTATGGATCCCAGGTGTGTCTTTGAGATCAGCGTCCTACTATTAAATGCATTATATCATTCCTGGTTCTGTGATAGCACTATATCACCATGAGCTTGAAAGCTCTAGTACCACTGTATAGAATATTTCCTGAGGAAGATCTGGTTTTTGAAACATTGTTATAAAATCTGGAGATGACGTTGATTTATTCTTATACAAGGATTTTCTTATGATTTGATGGAATTTCTTCATTATTGTTATGTAGTGTTTATTGGCAGCAATATATAGAAAACATTTTTTTTGTAAGTCTTGTTGACTACCTTAATTTGTGGGCCAGACTCTTGCAACTGTTTTCTCAGTATCTATTTTTTAAATACCTACAGACCATAGAGTTTTGCCCCAAAAGTGGAGCATCACTCCCCATGTCGCTGACATGTTGACATCATTTCTGGAAGTTATGTCATCGCATAATCAACATCGCTCAGGAAGGCTGTTTGGGGGTGGGGTTTTCCCCAAGGTAGCAGGCAGGAGCCCAAAAAAGCAGGGGATCCCCCACCCCCACCTGGGGACTGGCAAGCCTACAGGCCTAGGGCTTCCAACCTCCAGGTTCTCCCAGAATTACAACTGAACTCCAGGTGATAGAGATCTGTCCCTATTAAATACTGGGTTCAAGATGCATTGCAGTGAACAGCTTGACTTTATTAAGGGATTTCAGGAACAAGACTGAAAAACTGTTTAAATAGCATGCAAAAACAACACCCAAAAACACCCAACTCCCAACAATAGGCTGTTTATATAACATTAGTTTCTCACTGGTCACTTCCAGAGTCCTGGTGGGCTATTGCTCAAGAGCTCTAAGCTCAGCCAGTCTCTAATAGATAGTCCTGGAATGTTCCAGACCTAATACATAACAGCCCCTTAGAGAAAATGACTGCTTTGGAGGGTGTACTCTATGGCATTATATTTGGATGAGGCCTCTCCTACCCCCAAACCCTTTCCTCTTCAGACTCCACCACAAAATCCCCAGGAATTTCCCAATTTGGAGCTTCCAACACTAGGCCTGGCCCCAATGAGTCCTCCCTCAAAGGTTAAAATAGGCCTGGAAAGGGCCCTGCCCCCTCCCCCACATTTTACTAGGAGAACCAAGCCTGGAATCTGTGGTTGCCTAGCAATGGCCACTGGGGGAATTTGTTCTTTAAAGCTACAGGAGCTCTTTTTATCATCTTTAGGTTTTTTAAACTCATATGTTTCACATTTTTCTGCAAACTTGGGTGATTTTCAGGTTTGTAGAAAGATCTGTCTTGCCTGCTCACTGTTCCAGTTACCAGATTTAAGTATCCTCAGATCTGGCCAACTTTGCTGTTAGTATTTCTAATATAGGCACATATGTATTTTGGATTCTGTCCATTCTCCCTAATGCCCTGAATAAGTGTACATCTATTTCTCTGTTCTTTCCCTTGAAACGTTCCAGAGTTCTTTACTGGATGAAGCAAGCCCCAAATTTATTCTGTCAGGTCCCTGAGATGATCTCCAGTGGCCCTTCTCTCTGTTCTCCCACCATCTGAGGTGAGCCATATGGTGGGGATAGTGCCTTCTCAGTGGGGACAACATAACTTTGAAACACTCTCCCTTACAGGGTTCACTGGGGGCTTGCATTATTGCTTGGCATTTAGGTGCCAGGAAAAGACGGGGGGGGGGGGGGCTGTGTTTTCTGCTTTTTTAAGCTATCTGCTAGGATTTGCTTGTTGTTGACAATTTTGTATAGGCTTTACTATACTGTTGTTACTGTAACTGTAAGTCAGCAGCCTTGTTTGAGCAAATGATATTTGATAAGAAATGTGTGTGGCTCAGGGGTAGAACATCTGCTTTGCATGCACAAGGCCCCAGGTTGAATCCCTGACATCTCCAATTAAAAGAATCAAGTAGTAGGTGATGCAAAAGATCTCTGCTTGAAACCCTGGAGATCTGCTGCCAATCAGAACAGAAAGTACTGACCTTGATAGACTAATGGTCTGACTCATTGTAAGACAGCTTCTTGCACACAAATGAATAATTTAATAATAATACATAAGCATATGTAGACATCTAACCATCGTTATACTTGCTGCTTCCTTCCTGCTTCACCCTTAGGTTTTCCTCCACTATTGAAATTTTAATTACAGTCTCCTTGGGGCTGGTACTTGTCTTTTTTTGTTAATGGTAAAGCATCATGGACACCAATGTACTGTATAAATTATAACCAGTGTGTGTGTGTGTATTAGACTCAGTCTGTGGTTATCTGGAGTCCTGATCTTATTTATATAATCAGATTATCTGGAATGGTAACTCCCTAATTGAGGATTTACCCGCATGGACCATTAGAAACCGTATCTCATTTTTAAATCAATTAAATCCATGTTGCAATCTCAAGCATACGCACCTGGAATTAAGTAGCATTTAAACAGGCAGCACTCAACATGAGTAACATTTCCTACCAGTTCTTTGATTTTTTAAAAGTAAAAAGCTAAACTATACTTGTACTTTGGGATTGTTAAATTGTTACATTTCCAGAACAGCACCATATTATCAAGCTAATTTTGCAGCATCATACTGTTCAAGAAACATCACTTTCTTGCATAGGACAGTATGTCAATAGGCTAAATTTACAATGCTATAATGCTCTGGCTAGTTTCCAATGAAATTAGCAAAATCAATTTCTTGTGGGATGATGGAGCTAAACAAGGTCTTGAGATGTCCTTAGTGTTTTTAGGTATTAAACTGTGTTAGTAAAACCTGGGAATTGTCAGGCTTGACGTGTGTTAATAAGCTTGGTAAAACTAGAGAAGGGCAAATATTGCTCTTACGAATGGTCTTCCTAGATTACATTGGGATTATATTTGGAAATTATTTTTCACTCTGTACTTCCTGAATTCCATCTTCAACTTCAGCCTGCTATTCCCCCCCCCATGCAAATGGAGAGCTCAAGTCTAGTGTCCACAAATGCTTATGCTAGAATAAAATCTTGTTAAGATCTGCCTATTCTGGGCAAATGCTGAACTTCATTACCCCTATTTTCCTTTAGTAATAAAAGAAACTACTAATGGTTTATTTATTTCATACCTCTGCTGAATTCTGAACATTACATCCCATTCTTTTGATCCATGAAGGGCAGCTGACAACAACAAAAATCCATTCCTGTGAATCGTCATGAACTTCTTTATTTTGTCAAAGAATGGTTCTCTGTTTGTGAGAAACAAATCTTGAACATCAGCCAATAAAAATGCAACACCTGGGCAAGAAGAAAGGTTGTCATTATGTTAACTGCTAATAAATATAAATAAAGTACACAAAATAAATATACTAACTCATGAAAAAGAATTCGTTCCAAACAGCTCAGAAGCCACCCGGGGGGGGGGGGGGTTGCCAAACATACTGTTAAAGGATATAGATACTCTGCTGAAATTCCATTCTTTCTTTATTTAGGGTAATAATAACAACAATAATAATATGCCATCAAATTGCAATTGATTTATGGCATCCCCTCATGGGATTTCAAGGCGAGAGATAAGCAGAGGTGGTTTGCCATTGCCTTCCTCTGCATTGCAACTGCATTTCCATTGCCTTTCTCTGCATGGTTTTCCTTGGTGGTCCCCCATCCAAATACAAATGATGGCTGACCCTGTTTAGCTGCACCCTGCCTTTCTGTTGATATTCTCAAGTCCCCAAGATGGGGGTCAACAGCAAATATACAAAAATACTTATCTATTAAAATCATTCAAAGGCATCATGATACAAATAAGCCAGGGCCCACATCGATGACCTTCAAGCTGCCCCACAAGCTCTCTTGAATAGCTCTGTTTTATAGCCTCACTGGAAAGCCTCATGCCACACTCCTCCTGGGAGTGCAGGGAAGCAACAAAAAGGCTGGAGACGATAGTGGATCTTATTCTCATGAGAGGGCACTACTCAGAGACCCTGTTGTGAGGAACACTATTGCACATGGCAATCTTTAAGCAGTGGCTGGAGAAACACTTGTCAGGGATGCTCTAGGCTGATCCTGCATTGAGCAGGGGGTTGGACTAGATGGCCCGTATGGCCCCTTTCGACTCTGTGATTCTATGATTCTGTGATATTCTCAGAGACAGTCCTTCAGGTATGTGGGCCCCAAGTCATAAAGAGCTTCAAAGGTATGTACCAGCACTTATAGCTGGACTGCTAGTGAATGAGCTTCAGGACTAATGTAATGTCCACTGACAACAAACAGGCCACCACATATTGCAGAAGTTAAAGTCTCTGAATCAGAGGTCGATTCGGGGGGAATCGCGGGAGATCACCGTTCCCCCGGGTGAGGTACGGGGGGCGGGGCACATGATGAAGCCCTGCCCCCTGCTTCCAGCCACCCCGCTTCCAGCCCTCATTCAGCCAGGAGGAGGCAGGAGAAGAGGGAGGGTAAGTTGCTTCCTCCCCGCCTCTCCCCACCCCTGCCTGCCTGGGGTCAGGGAGGGCCTTGGCGGGGCTTCCTCGCACTCCCGCTGGCCTTGCAGGTCCACCGCCGGGCCCCTGATGGGGCTCAGCAGTGGAGCTGCAAGGCGGCGGCGGCTGGGACCATTAGGGGTGGAGGGCCTTCGCGGGACTTCCTCGCACTCCCGCCGGCCTTGCAGGTCCGCCGCCGGGCCCCTCATGGGGCTCAGCAGTGGAGCTGCAAGGTCGCCAGCGGCCAGGACCATTGGGGGCGAGGGGCAGGGGGGGCCTTCGCGGGGCTTCCTCGCCAGGGCTCATAACTGAGTGGTGGGTGTGGCCTTATGACACACTTCCGGTGATGGCAGGGTGTGTGGCCTTATGACACACTTCCGGTGATGGCAGGGTGTGTGGCATATGCTAATGAGTTATGCTAATGAGTCCCCCTAGCTCTTTTTCTACGAAATGACCCCTGCTCTGAATCGTCTACTATTTAATGATGGGCTAGTCAGTGTTGCCTCTAAGCTGTGCATGTGAGTGGCAGCTCATTAACACTGGAAGCACTACTCAGCAGCAATCTGGAGCTGCGCAGGGTCTTGCATTGCCCATTTTAAGGTTATAGCAGTTATATTCTGCTCAGGATGTGAACTGCTCTGCTCAGTCAGGGGGGAAATTAGAGGGAACATTGCTAGCCATTGACCTTCCTAATACACAAACCTAGCACCTCTCACCAGAATTGCAATGAAATCCCCAGAGTACACTATTCTGCTTTGCTCTTAGAAATCCAGGAGAATGTTATGTTACTGATAATGGTAATCCCACTGCCTTGGTGACCCTGATGGGGCAGAAAGGCAGGGTAGAATTTTTTAAAACAAATATATAAATCATACCAGAGTATAAATATTTTATAGACACATCCCGTTTTCTGTCTCACAAAGGGGATTGTAGACCCTATTAACTTTTTGGCTGTACAGAATGTTAAAGGAAATAACAGCAAAAAGCCAAACAGGAATGCTATGCATATCATGCAAGCCATGGTTCTCTATTTGAACTGCACTGAGGGGTGACATGATTGAGGTTTATAAGATTATGCATGGGAAAGAGCAGGTAGAGAAAGAGGTACTTTTCTCCCTTTCTCACAATACAAGAACTCGTGGGCACTCCATGAAATTGCTGAGCGGTCGGGTTAGAACGGATAAAAGGAAGTACTTCTTCACCCAAAGAGTGATTAACACTTGGAATTCACTGCCACAGGAAGTGGTGGCGGCTACAAGCATGGACGGCTTCAAAAGGGAAGTAGATAAGCATATGGAGCAGAGGTCCATCAGTGGCTATTAGCCACAAGGTAGAGATAGGGACTCTGGGGCAAGTGATGCTTTGTCATCTTGGTGCTTGGGGGGGATCAACAGTGGGATGGCTTCTAATGTCCTGGCCCCACTGGTGGACCTCCTGATGGCACTGGTATTTCTGGCCACTGTGTGATACAGAGGGTTGGACTGGATGGGCCATTGGCCTGATCCAACATTGGCATCTCTTATGTTCTTATGTTCTTATAGATTATTTAGCATACTCAACCCAGCCTTGAAAATATTCACCAAATCAAGCTATTAAAGGATTCTTTAAAATCACAGAGATTAACTATCCACCATTTACCTCTAACTGCCATGGTTCCCAACAAAAATTATTGTAGTTTCTGTGGTAGCCTTGTGGCTCTGATGCTGTGCTAACACATTTCCAATAATTTTAATACTTATTGTTTAATGTACTGTACCTGAAAGGGAGAAAATAATTGATCCAATTTCCACTGAATCTGAATAACGAATTCGATGTTGTTGGTTTTTAAGAGATGCTGAAATTTCATGACCCTAAGTGTATAATGAAACATTACATTACCCTTCTGTCCTTGAGGCAATATTTCAATTGGAAAATGCTGACATATTCAAAGGAAGTTTTAATTATGTACACAATTAAAACAGGAACACAGAAATTGCTAGGTCAGACCAATACCCATTTCCAGCAACTGTCTACCATTTGCTATTGTTTGTGTCCCAAAACATATGACTCTTTACATGGAGATTTCATTCAAATATCAGGTATAATTAATGTTAATAGAGCCATTCATGAATTTATCTACTTCTTTTTAAAGCAAACAAATTTTGTACCCATCATATATCTTTCAGGAGGTAAATTTCACAGGTTAATTATGCGTTGTATGAAGAAATACTTTCTTCTGTTGGTCCCAAACCTAGTTTAAAGCAATTTAAGTTATACTAAGTTTTAGTATTATGGAAGAGGGAGAAAAAAATTATCCACATTATTCCAAATTTTATAATTTTTTGTCACCCTCTAAAAGTGATGCTGCTATGAAACATGCAACCTTGTACATCAAGTACTATCCTCTATATCTAGGGTGCTCCATGGTAAGCTTGGTATACCATGGAACACAGTGTTGCCTAGTTGCAAAAAATCCATCTTCAAGAAAAGGTTGCTGAATTTTATCCTTCCATCTTCTTTCTACTGCTTTATGGCACATCAAGGCTACTGCTGATTGCAACAGGCACAGTGATCAAAGATTGGCAGCCTTTTACTATCTACGGCTGATTAGGCAGTTGGTTCCTTTCCTCGAACGCAATGACCTGGCAACGGTGATCCATGCTATGGTCACCTCGAGATTGATCTACTGCAATGCTCTCTACATGGGACTGCCCTTGTCCCAAATCCAGAAGCTGCAGTTAGTGCAAAATGCAGCAGCCAGGCTGCTGATGGGTCTCTCTATATGACAGCACATCTGGCCTGTGCTGAAGGCATTGCACTGGCTGATAACAGCATACTGGATTCACTTCAAGATGCTGGTTTTGTTCTTTAAAGCCCTATATGGTCAGGGGCCTGCCTACCTGAGGGACTGCCTTTCCCCAAATGTCTCCCAAAGAGCACTGAGGCAAGGGTCGCAAAATGGAAGATTTGTATTCACTTACCGTGAAGCTTCCTTCTCGGTGGTCCGGGAATGGGGCAATCCTTACTCTTGGGAATAGGCTCCTTCCTCTGGAACAGGGTCGGTTTTCTCAGCTCAATCCAGGAAGGGGAGGGGCCTGTCCTTTGGGAACATCCCAGTCGTCCCCAAGCGTGCATCCCCTAACATCACACTAAGGAAGGGGGGGGAAACACTTCTCCCCACCATAGTGAAACTCAATTTTCGGGGCAACCAGCCTTGTAACTTTATGCCCCTCCAGTGGGTGTAGACCAAGGTTGAAACCTTCTGTCACTCTCTCATTCAATTTAGTGTCTCAGAGAAACTTCATAAATGTTCCTCCAAAATAACCTCTAGAAGCTGCCCCCCAAAACTGGCTGGGTAGGACTGCCCCAATCCCGGACCACCGAGAAGGAAGCTTCACGGTAAGTGAATACAAATCTTCCATTCTCCGGTGGTCCTGGGAATGGGGCAGTCCTTACTCTTGGGACATAACATAGCAGTGTGCCGCGGGGTGGGAAATCCATCTTCTGGTTATAGTGTGCTGCAGCACACCCCAAAGAAAGGCTGCCACAGCCAAGGTCAGCTTCTCTACTCTATAGCACTCTACTCTATAGAGTGCACAGACTTCCAGGTGGCCACCGTACCTACCGTCTCCAAGGATGGGAAATGATCTGCAAGCTGCTGACGTAGCAGCCCCCCACAGAGAATATGCCGCAACACCTTTGGGTGGATTCAGCCCCCGAGCCTTGCATGCAACAATGATGTCACCCCTAAAACCGCTTACTCAAGGTAAAAGGCAATACCAGTTGACCTAAGGAAAATATCCTAAAGGAAACAAATAGGGTATCTGAATCATGCCACTACTTGGCCTGTCAATGTAAAAACTGAATACCCTACATATATCTAGGCAATGCCATTCCCTTTCCTTGTCATGCCTATAATTGGGACAAAGGAAGGTAAGACAATGATCTCTGACTTGCGAAGGAACTGGTTTAACCTTGGGAACGAAGGCTTTATCCGAACATAACATCGCCCTATCATTGTGGAAGACATGAAGTTCCCTGTCAACTGACAGGGTCCTCAGTTCAGATGCTTGCCTAGTTAATATTATGTCTGCTACTACAAGGTCTTGAATGTTAATTCCTTGAGACTCCATGGGTTTAAAGGTTTTCTACACAATGCTCTCAGGACCCTATGTAGGTTCCAAGTTAGAAACCTCTGCACTTGTGGTGGGTTTGACCATGTAGTAACCCTTTAAGGGTAAAGGTTCCCTTGCTCGAAAGCCAGTCGAATCCGACTCTAGGGTTGCGGTGCTCATCTCTGTTTCTAAGCCGAAGAGCCAGCGCTGTCCGAAGATATTTCCGTGGTCATGTGGCCGGCATGACTAAACACCAAGGTGCACGGAATGCTGTTACCTTCCCCCCGAAGTGGTACCTATTTATCTACTTGCAATTTCTTGCTTTCGAACTGCTAGGTTGGCAGGAGCTGGAACTAGAGACAGGAGCTCACCCCGTCTTGCGGCACCCGGGTCTCGAACTGCAGAACTACTGACCTTCCACAGCCTGCAGTTCAGCGTCTTAACCCTTTAGGAATCTCTTAATGAGTGGATGGCAATTGAAGGGACCTCTCTTCCTAGCCCCCATCACTGCCAATATGGCTGCCACCTGTCACTTTAATGTACTCATGCTTAGCCCTCTATCCAAACCATCTTGGAGAAAGCTAAGATGTCTCTGATGCTTTTAATGGTTCCCAATCATGTTCTGAACACCAAGAGTGAAGGACTCACCAGGTTGTGTTATTCACCCTATTTGTGAAGCTCTTCCTAGAAAACTAATATGGTGTCTGTCACCCTGTCAGGGTAAATCAACTCTTCTAGCTGTTTCCACTCGACCTCCAGGCTGTTAGGTTAGGAGAGCTGGGAGAGGATGTTGTGCCAATCCTAGTGTCAATAAGTCCTTTCCCAGTGGTAGGCACCATGGGTCCACGGTCAACAATCTCTTCAGATCCTGGAATTAAGCTCTTGGTGGCAAAAAGCATGGTATCAACCCAATTCCGCCTTCTGTTCCAAAAGCTTTTGAATTACCTTGTAAAACAAGTCAGTTGGAACGTGTACAGTCATCCCTGTGGTCAGTCGCAGTTCAGAGCATCTTGTTCCAACAGCTTCTGAATTACCTTATGAAGCAATTAAGTCAGTTGGAATGTGTGCAGTCATCCCTGTGGTCAGTCGCAGTTCAGAACATCGGTTCCTGTTACCCGCTGGTTTTAAACTCTGGATATGAAACACATAAATTAATTATTCTTGTCTGTGATAAAGAAATCAATTTCCATCATCCTGTACCTTTTGCAGACGTGTTGAAACCCAACTTGCAGAGTATCCATATGGACTGGTCTAATCATATATACTCAACCAGTCCGTCAATGCACTATCCTGGCCTGCCACATGGACCACCTTCAATGACTGTAGCTGGATCTCCGCCCATCTGATCAGGTCGCTCACTTCTGTGTGTAAAGTCCGAAATCTGGTTCCTTATGCCTTTGTTGTCATATTGTCTGTCTGGACTAGAACGTGATGACCTGTTAGTATCTTGTAGAATTCTAAGAGCCCCAGCTTGGTGGCTCTGAGTTCTAAAACTTTTATACTCAGTGAATCCCTTGTGTCATTGTCCCTTGAGAGTGGGTTCTCACCCTGGCAGACTTGCGTCTGTGGTCATCACCATTCCCTCTAGATTTCAGATTGGGGATCCCCATTGGAAACAAAAAGGGTTCCAGCCACCACTGCACTGATGCTGAAGTTTTTTTGGCAACTGTACCAGCTTGTAGCCCTAACTGACAACCACATCCTGGTAAGGTAAGGGAAAATGTCTGTAGAGGCCTGGCATGGAGCCTTGACCACTGAAGTACTTCATGGTTTGACACCACCATGCTCAGTAGCTTGGCCAGTGTCATACCCTCTATCTTGCATTTTTCCAGCCTGTCAATGTCAGAAGGTGTATGTTGTATTATCTCTCCCAAGTGCCTATCTGCACCCCCAGGTGTACCCTTCTCCATGTTGACCATGAAGGCATGGTCTCTGTCTCAAAATAATAATAATAATAATAATTCACCACCATCTCTGATGCTTCCCCACTTTGCTGGTAAGAAGGGGCCTTGACAAGGATGTCACCTAGAGATGGAGACAGCAACACTCCCTGAAGTCTCAGATATGTTACAATGGCTACCATAAACTTGTTGAACCCTCTTGGGAATGACTTCGGGCAGAAAGGCAACACTGGTACTGAAGTGCTTCCCATCATACACAAAGCATAGGAACCTGCAGTGAGCCATGTGTAAATGGTCCTCCTATAGATTGATGGATGCCAGGAAATCCTTTGCTTGAACATCTGCCAGAATAGAATTCCGACTTTTCATCCTGAACGTTCTAGTCCTGATGCAAGAGTTTCCTGGCATCCTTATTCTTCTTTGGCTCTGGGCATAATATCCTTTTGGAGTCACAACAGGACTGACAAGTTTTTTGTTTGTTTGTTTGTTTTGTTTTTTGAACATAGAACACGTCTTTATTTTCAGTTAGATATCTGTCAAGTCCCTCTCCGAAAAGGTTCATGCCCTGAAGGGAACTGCTTTAGCTTGCGCTGCAGAGTCCCCATCCCAATTCTAAGCCACATGTTCTTTCTGGCTGCTACACTGCATGCCATGGCTCTAGTTAACTACTGCAGGATGTCCAGAGAAGTACCTTCTTAAGTTTGTCTTTAAGTTCTTGTGGGACTCCACTATCAGCTGAGGCTAGTCTCAATGCCCAAGATTGTACCACCCTGGCAAACACCAAGCCTGCTGTTGACATCCTGATGGAGCAGGCTGAGACTTCGAAGTCTTTGCATAAGGCTTGCTGAAATCCCCTATCGCTGGGTCTTGGGCAACCTATCTGCATCCATAGGGAGAAATGAGTAGGAGGTCAAGTTAGTCCCAGGTTCGTCCACCATTGGGATCTTGGGTCTCTTAGTAGCCTCTGGTATCAGGGAATAAAACTTGGGGGGGGGGGAATCTGATGGTTAGGTTTTGTTGTTGTTGTTGTTTTTTAAGCTATAAAAGGCTGCAGGCAGTTAGAGGCTTGCCCTTGCCTGCCTCAGCCTAGCAACCCTGGATTTCCTTGGTTGTCTCCCAGTACTAACCAGGACCGACCCTGCTTAACTTCTGAGATCTGACAAGTGTGGTCCAGCCTGGGCCATCCAGGTCTGGGCTGGCATCACTGCTTGTGGTACTGCCAGTATGTACACCATCTGGCCAGACTCCACCAGACGTTCTGGGTCAAAATCATCATCTTCCTTAAGTCTGGAGGAAATTCTTTTTTTTTTATTAATAGCTTTATTCCCCCTCCTAAAGAGGAGAGATATTTCGCTTAAGGTCAAGAAAGGGGAAGGGTATATAGATGGGTAAAGAAAAGAGTGAGTGGTGTTAATATATTAGTATATTAATCTTTTCATGTTAAGAATTAGAGTCAATCACTGCTTCTGTAGACCGGCGTTCTTTTCTTCTTCCATCTCTGTTAACCAGGCAATTAGTATGTTAGTAGTGTCCTTCTGGGAGTTAGTTTCTTTTTCAAAGTGTAATCCAAAAATTAGAAAAGTTTCTAGAGTCTGGGGTCTTTGCTTCTCTTGTCTCTCAGATTATACTTCAAGGCAGTCGCTCCTTTGGGTTCCTCGTCCTTCAGCTCTCCCTCCGAGCTACTGTCTTCCACATTCAGTTCTGTCATCCACTTGGCCAGTTCTGCCTCTTCTTCTTTGCTGGCGTGCCTTTCTAGAAAGTCTTGAGCCTTAAAGATAGAGTCAATCTTTTCGCTCTTTTCCTTAAACTTGAAAGTCAGTCCTTCAGGCACCAGCCATTTGTAGTTTTTTTTGATGGTTTTGTAGGAATCTGGTCAGTCCTTTATATTCTTTTCTTTTCAATCTTATTTCAAATGGAACATCTTTTAGAATTCTTATCAACTGATCTCCAATTTTCAGGGGTGTCGTTGATGTCACCTTTAAGATCTGATCTCTGAGACGTTGCTTTGTAAATTTTACAACCACTTCTGCTGGCAACTTATTTTTTCTTGTATAATTGGAATAGGCCCTGTAGGTCACCGCCTGGGGCGGGTGGGTGTTTTTAAAATTTTATTTTAATAAATGTATGAATCGCCCACCCTGGAAGCAGGCTCTGGGCGATTTACAATCTTAAAACAGGTAAAATGCAATCTGCATAAAATCATCGTAATAATCCAATAAATTAACAGTCCAGATGGGGAGGGGAGGGGCCTCAGCCGTGTGCAGTGCCATAAACTCCGCCCTCCAAAGCACCCATTTCCTCCAGGGGAACTGATCTCTGCAGTCTGGAAATCAGCTTTAATTCCAGGATCTCTCCAGGTCACACCTGTAGGTTGGCAACCCTACATCCGCCATCTGGGGCTCGATTGTGATTCTGGGAGGTCTCCAGGCCCCACCTGGAGATTGGCAGCCCTGTTTCCTCCTGATGCAACACTGACATTCTCTGCCTCCGCTCTGCAGGTGACGCTGTTCGATTCGCAGTTCACGGACACTTCGCACGGCCCTTGCACCTGCAACCAGATTCCTTCCGTTGTGCTCAGTGGTGAAGGTATGGACCCTGTGGGGGTGGGGGGCAATGTTCCCTCTAAGCTGTGGAGTCTTGTGAGCAAAAATTCTACTGTGTGAGCTCCTGGCATTAAAGTTGTGAGCCAGAGATCCAGCTACGGCATAAATTAGTTTGCTTTGGAGCCATCTTTCCTGAGCGAAGACAGAAATGTGTGAGCCGGAGGCTAAAGAGCTGTGAGCTAGCTCACACTAACTCAGCTTAGAGGGAACACTGGTGGGGGGGTGAGGCGTGTATGTACTCCCCCAGCCTTGACGGAAGCTAGAACAGCTTGGCTTCTGTGGCTTTGCTTGTGAAAGAGGGTGAGGCTGGGGTGCCGTAAAAGTCTGGCTGGACTCCTGGGTACCTCTGCGAATCTTGGGGTTGCGAACTCTCAGCTGGGAAATTATTTATTTATTTATTTCCCGCCTTTGTATCCCACCCATCCCATTGATGGGCTCAGGGCGGGTGATGCCGTTTCAATAAATACAATAGAATTTAAAACACTTTATAAGCATCAATTCTGGAGGTTTGGGGGTGGGGCCAAGGAACCACAGTGGGGGATAACGCCTAGGCTTGCCAAGCCCCCCCGGGGGGCGGGGAAAACCCCGCCCCAGAGGCCTGTTACCCACTGCCGGTGGATCAGGCCCTGGTGGGAACCCCACCCCCAAAGCAAGCAACATGCCCGGTGTCAGCACGTCACCCAGAAGTGACGCAGTCGCGTTGGGCACGGGGCTGCGGTCATCCGAGGGAAAACTCTATGGTTTTCCCTCAGATGATTGTGGCCCCACCCCCAGCGTGCCCGGCGTGGTTGCATCACTTCCGGGTGATGTGGTTGCGGCGCACACGCACTACCAGAGCAGCGCTGAAGTCCCCCGCTGTATGTACAACCCTACCACTATTAAGCACGCGGTACAGCCAAAAGCACCTCTCAGGGCACTTTCAAAACAGGGTGTGTACCCCGAATGCAGGTTTGAGCCGACTTAAATAGTTTTTCAACAGAGTATGGGGAAAAAATCATTTCTTAGAATTGGCATGCAAAATTATCACAGACATTGACCATGAAGCCTGAAGCAATGTGTTCTTTTGCAAAACCACAAACATCCTTAGCTTATCACATGTCCCTTGTGGGAAGGCCGATATTTTCCTGTTATCAGCCAGGTGTTAACTTTCTTCATGACAGAATAACAAGCAGAGTTCAGCAATTCCTCGTAACGGGCCTAACGACGCCTAATATGGTCATGCAATCTTGTGTGTTCCGCAAAGACTCTATTTCTTATCTCTGGCTCTCCTATTTGCAAAAGCTATGTTCCCTTAATGATTTGCAAAAGCAAATATGTTTCCCTAATGGAATGGCCTTATAATGCAAGCAAATTGCAGGTACATGCTTTACGTACACAGCCTTGGCTGCTGGGGATCTCCCAGTGCCATCGGCTTCATTTGCGGTTTGCCACCGACTGCAGCTCAAAATAATGAAGAGGGAGGGTCTCTCCCTTCTCCCTCTCTTCTTCTCATTCTTGGATTGCTGCGCTCTACAGAGCGCCTGTGAAACACGTCCTGCTCAAGCAGCAGGGCCGGTAAGACTGGGATGTTCCTAGGGGACAGGCCCCTCCCCTTCCTGGATTGATCTGAGGAAACTGATCCTGTTCCAGAGGGAGGAGCCTATTCCCAAGAGTAAGGACTGCCCCACTCCCAGGACCACCGGAGAATCGCCTTCTCAGTGGCGGCTCCACACTGGTGGAATGAGCTCCCGGAAGACATCAGGGCCCTTGCGGGACCTCTTACAGTTCTGCAGGGCCTGTAAAACGGAGATCTTCCACCAGGCCTTCGATTAGGAGGACTGAGGACTATGCTATTAAAAACTGAACTGCTACGGCCCTCATGTTATTGGCACTAAGAATAGCTATGGATACTGGTTTAGCTACATTGGACCACCATACAGCAATCGCCATCTGCACTTAATTGCACTTTGTATGTATATTGTTTGTTACATGAATTTTATAGTATTGCACTTATGCATCTGTGCTTTATTGCATTTTAACCTGTTGTACGCCGCCTTGAGCCTGCCTGTGCAGGAAAGGCGGGTTATAAATAGGAAATAATAAATAAATAAATAAATACATAATAAATAAAATGGGCCCCTGAAGGAGGTGCCCCATCCATTAACTGGTAGGCTGAGGCTAAAATCATGCACCAGCACCCCTAGCGCAGCTTAGAGGTAACTTTGACTCCTTCCACTATTACTCCACAGAACTGACATTCAAAGAAAGTTTCAGAGCTGATGCTTAAGCCTTGATTCTCTAGACATACAAATTATTGCATCTTCTATGCTGGAATTTCCAAATAACCCTCCTTGGTGGAGCTAAATTTGCCAAGTGGTGCTTTTGGGTGCTTTTGGGATTCACAGTTCCCATTTTTTTTTTAACTAAATTTTTTTAAAGGGTGGCTAGAATAACATTACATAGTTGTAATATACAGTACCTGAAGAGAGGAACTCATGATTACTGTTGTAATCCATTGTGCCTTTTCTTGCCCATCACTTTCAGCCATTTTGACACACTATTATCATCTGCAATATTAAACCCCAGCCACCATCTTCTGAAAATGCTCAAGGAATGCTACCTAGTGTTGGTGGAAAGATTGTAAAAATATTGTTCACATCTTTTAAACAATAGTAACCTAAGAGAGATTTTATTGTATTGCATGTTTTATTTCAGTGGACAACAGGAATGATAAGAGCAAGAACAGCAGTTACAATCTGCAAAGTACAGAAGACCTGTGCCTCAAACTGTGGTGCTAAAACCACTCTGGGCTAACTAGCCAACATTAATTTAACTGAGACTTACTTTTGAACATGTATACAATAGGATTGTTCATTTTACTCTGTTTTAGTGCTTAGCCACGCCCACTCCTGAGGCCTATCATGAAAGCAGTGTTAAAACCTGAAACTCTTCCTTAACTTCCCATCCCTTTTCCAAATTCAGTGCAAACTTTATGGCCTTTCCTCCATACAAATCTGTCACACTCAGTTGCCCAAAATAAAAAATACCATATCATGTCTTTCATTATGACCAACTAATATAACACAAAACAGTGTGCAAGCTTTCCAGTTCTCCAGAACTTTTCATTAGGTTGGATGTAAAAATAAAAAATACAGAAGGGCCAGAGGGAGAATAAAACATATTTCAGGCCATGATCTCAAGGTAGCTCCTTGCCTGTATCTCATGTAGAATGCCAGTCAGATTAGAACAGAGAAAATGCTAGGTGGAACTGATATTATGCATCACTGAAGTCAAAACTGCATGACATTCTACACAGGATGTAGGCAAGAGGATTGAAAATCATAGTCTAAAACAGGGCTTTTTTTGTAGAAAAAGGCCAGCAGGAACTCATTAGCATAATAGGCCACACCCAACAACAGAAACTCATTAGCATATTAGACCACACCCCTGACAGTACAGCTCATTAGCATATTAGACCACTCCCCCTGCCTTCCCTTGGCTTGCCCAGGTGCCCCATGGCTGCGGGGAGCCCATGCAAGCCGCCCCCTGGACAGGCGGGGGGAGGCATTTAAATGCCTCCCCGATCCTTCCAGGTCCCCCCTGGCCTGCCTGCCTTGGTGTCGCCGGGGGGGTCACTCTCCGTAGCCACACACGCAGAGGTTTTGGCTGTAGTGGGCGTGGCCAACTCTGAAGCCAGCCAGAACTCCGTTCCTGTGCGTTCCTGCCCCAAAAAAACCCTGGCCTAAAATGTTATCATCGTCCCCCCATACAGTAAAAAAAACACAACCATACTCCCTAACAAAGAGTTCCAGAGAACTTGACAATACTTGTACACCACGTTATCTTGGTTGGTCTCAATAAAAGGTATCGCAATGGCTTTAAATCACCAATCTTTGCCGTACTGCAGTGGTTAAGAGCAGTGGACTTTAATCTGGAGAACTGGGTTTGATTCCCCTTTCCTCCACAGGAAGCCTGCTGGGTGACCATGGGTCAGTCATAGTTCTCTCAAAACTCTCTCAGCCCAACTTACCTCACAAGGTGCTTGTTGTGGGAAGGGGAAGGGAATGCGATTGTAAGCCACTTTGGGACTCCTTAGGGTAGAGAAAATTGGGATGTAAAAACCATTTCTTCTTCTCTAGTCTACCTAGGAACCATTTGATGCCCCCTACCTCTTCATGAAGTCTTTAACTTCTTAAGGACTATATATACAAAAGCAAGAACAGGCAATTCTTGGGCTCACTTCGGCCCTGCCCTTTTCCTGCCTTCTTCACCCTTCACTTGAGGCAACCAAATATCCAGTCTACACTCAGCCTGGAAACTTGGCCTGTCAAATTTGTGCACAGCTGAATGAGGTCTGTAATCCAGTTTCCCAGCTGTCATTTCAAGTGTGGCATGGGGGTGATTCTTAGATTAGGGCCACAGCCTGAGGATGATTTCTATCCAGGAAATGGGGGGGGGGGGGGAGTAAAGAAACACTCCTGCCTCAGCACTTCAGCCCCAATCCACAGATACTCTGTCTTCCTCTTGCATAACTTCTAAATAATATTAATGAATTTAGGAGTGCTGATCATGAAGCTCTTGCATTGCCTATTTCACTAGGCTGTTGTGCAGACAAAACAAGAGGATATACTTTGTCTATCCTAAGCTGCTTAGTAAGAGCAGGATAAAACCATAATTTAAAAAATAATCAGAATAGCCTGATGCTCAGGAATTCAGCAAGTACATTTCCCCCTGAACTGAGACACAATTAGTCACAGAGCTCTGTCAGAAAAAAGGAGACACCTTATTAAAAGAGTGAAAATAAGGGTGGGCTCCCCCCTTTCTTCAGCCGCTCAATATATTATACATGGATGAGGTGGGAATTCTAATCAGCACTAGTGACTGTGAATAAATCAGGTATAGTTTTGTAATTAATTCCAGATTAATTAAAAAGGAGTACAAGTGTGATCTTGAGTATGCAGATTTTGTAATTAAGGCATCTGAAGGAGGAAGAGGGAAGCAAAAGCATTTAGGTCTCTGCAACCTACTTACTGCCAGACCGTTTTTGAGCGTCTTGAGAGTCAAAGGCTCTTGACTGACTCAGCATCACTTGATTTAGCAGTGTGCTACACAGAAAAAGAGATACCAATGAGGGAAGGCTCTGGAGCCCTGAGCCCCTCCCCCCTTTTGAAGGCCCTTGCCAGCTTCTTCTGGTAGTAGCATGGCCAAAGCAGCTCAGTATGTCTGTCACAGTGACCTGCTAGTGAGGCCCAAACAGGCCTTTTTAGTTGTTTGACCTTCTTAACAGCATTTCTACTACCTTTAAATCTATCTACATGAAAACATGTGACAATTTGGTTCTTCTTCTCAGGGAGAGAGATGGTAAAGCTGAATGCTTCAAGCAGACAAAAGAATGCCTGTGGTTGTAACTTGTCTCACAGTTGTCAGTTTTTTGACTGACCCTTTTGTGAACAGTCCTAATCCTCCACACAGAGCCACAGTTCCCACTGTCCCCTGAGATTACAAAATCCAGTAGATAGATGTAGTGTTGCCAGCCTCCAGGTGGGGCCTGGAGTTCTCCCGGAATCACAATTGACCTCCAGGCAACAGAGATTAGTTCCCCTGGAGAAAATGACTTCTTTGGAGAATGGACTCCATGGCATTGTACCCTGTTGAGATGCCTCCCATTTCTCTTGCCTGGCTCCACCCCCAGATCTCCAGGTATTTTCCAACCTGGAGCTGGTAACCCTAGATGTAGGGCATAATTTTACCCATAACAAACTGTATAAAGTGTCTTGAAGTAACAACTACTTGTGTTTAGAGTATTAGCTGGTAGTCAAAATCACCAGATAAGCCACAAATAAAGAGAAACTCACCTAAAGTCAATGCCTTAGACCAGACAAAGTATATTGAGGGGTGCTTCCCAGTAATCAATATACACTGGGAGGTGGGGGAATTGATTAAGGTTACAGTAGATTGTAGTCATAAAATGGTGCTTGTTAATGTTATACTGTTTGTTAGAAAACACTGTCAATCCAAAGCTTTAAAAAAATCAATGCGAACAACACTAATAAATTACATGGTATTGGATACAGCGGGGAAAAGCCAGCCATGCAAACAAGATGAAATCTCTCGGGACATACAGGCAAGCCTTCCCTAATATAGAAAGCATATTATAGCTATATAAAATTTTCCAGATTTTAAAGCCTGAGATCTGAAAGCAGAGTTTGTTTGGAAGCCTAGGAAAGCATGACAAATTCCTTTGCCTACTATTATTTTACATTCTCTAAGCCCCTAAAATTCCTGTTTTTACACAAAACACAAAGAAACAGCATGACAATGTATACTCTGGTAAAAGGACACAAATCTATCACTCATATTATGCATAATTGTAGACTTGAAGTCCTTTATAGTTCTGTATGTGAGCTAGAAATGCAGCCTTTTTCCAAATAGTTTCTGACATTTAAGGCTTCAGTTGTAATTTTATAAACTCCAGTTCTATGCATGTGTATCTGCTCCTAGTCTTGGGGATTACAGCTGTAATAATTCCAGAAGTATACCCTGCCAGAACAAATGCAGGTTTATTAGAACAAAGCAGGGCCTTTCCGGGCCTCTGCTAGAAACACAAAAGTAACAGCCAACAGGGGAAACTGAAACTAAACTACAGCGCATGCCTTTCGCCTAAGGGGACCATCACTATAGCGATTCTCTAGGAATTTCCCCTAGTCCAGTGGTGGCGAACCTATGGCCCGCGTACCAAAGGTGGCACTAAGCGCCCTCTCTGTGGGCATGTGCGCCGTCACCCCAGCTGCCCGGGCAGCCCCCGATTGGGCAGTTTGAATGGAGGGTGGGGGCCATGCAAGGCAGACGTAGAGTCAGCAGAGGAAGAGAAGAAGAAGAAGAAGAAGAAGAAGAGAAGAAGAGATTGGATTTATACCCCGCCCTTCACTTGGAGTCTCAGAGCGGCTTACAAACTCCTCTCCCTTCCCCTCCCCACAACAGACACCCTGTGAGGTGGGTGGGGCTGAGAGAACTCTGACACAAACAGCTCTTTTTCAAGGACAGCTGTGCCAGAGCTTGTGACTCACCCAAGGTCACATCAGCAGGTGCAAGTGGAGGAGTGGGGACTCAAACCCGGTTCTCCCAGATTAGAGTCCGCACACTTAACCACTACACCAAACTGGCTGCGCCCTGCGACTCCCCTTCTCCGAGGTGGCTGACCGCAATGAACAGCACCAGCCTCCAGAAGGGAGTGCCTGCTAAAGTGTTCCAACCCTTTTATCATTCGAGTTGCCCTTTTCTGCACTTTTTCCAAAGCTATAATATCCTTTTTAAGGTGTGGTGCCCAGAACTGCACACAGTATTCCAAATGAGGTCTCACCATTGATTTATATAGGGGCATTATGATATTGGCTGATCTGTTTTCAATACCCTTCCTAATAATCCCCAGCATAGCATTGGCCTTCTTTATTGCAGTCACACACTGTCTCGACATTTTCAGTGAGTTATCCACTACAACTCCAAGATCTCTCTCTGTTCTGATTCTTTCTCCTGGCTTTTCTGTTTGCTGGGGTGGGGTGCCTGGGCAGGGGGTGGGCTGGTGGCATCCTGCTGGGGGCTGTCATCTGCCCTTGGCTGGGGATGTACTAAAAGGAAGGACAGGATTGCCCATTGGAAACAATGGGAAACACTTGAAGGCCCATTGGAAATAATGGGAGCCAGGAATGGCAATTGACTTGCATGGGCTCCATTGAAATACATTACAGTACAAGAAGAGTTGCAAGTAGAGACTTAGGAATTTCCTCTCCTCTTTGCAGACAAATCTTTCAGAAGTGTAGTTAATATTTTTAAATAAATCATAGGTTGGAATCCATGGTTTATTTGATTTTTATCCTGCCTTTCCTCCAAGGAGATCAGTGCAGTGTACGTGATCCAATTCCACATATTTTGTCCCCGCTTCTGGATTTAGATGTGGTACTGGCAAGGTAAAGAGCTTCCCAGTGTGATTTTGTACAGGCTCAGTGCCTCACCCAATCTGTTCCTGAATTCTTGTGAAGTAGTTATATATGTTTAGTTAGCATGGCAGCATAACATCCTCATGGACTCTGGCATGCCAATTGTACATGCATAGATGGTTTGCAATCACCTCAGCATGGTTCAACAAGATGCTAAGCCCATACAAAGTTACATGGAGATGCTCTTTTGCCTTACCAACATCATATTTAAATCAGGGCTAAAGTAGACTTGGTCAGTGGTTTCCAGCCTTCTTGGTATGGGGACAGACAAGTCCAAATTTACTTGGTATTGAGCCAGGGCTGGCCCAAGGTTTTTTGTTTGCCCTAGGCCAAATACGACCTTGGCACCCATCTAGTTCAGCAATCAATTCTCTACAGTAGCTATCCACACGTTTTTGAGAAAATAACAAACATTGCACATAGGACGCAGCTGCCCCTACTATGAATCCCAACCGAGCAAGTGACATTCTGACTTAGACAGCCTTTGTACATGGAGATCCCATCCCATCCTTTGTCCACTCTCTCCTTCTCCATCACTCCCTCTAATCCCTCCCTAAGATTCTAAGAAACTCATTCTACTAATCATTAGGACACTTTCTACATGATCAACATGTATATAAAAAAGGTAAAGGTTCCCTTGCTCGAAAGCCAGTCAAATCCGACTCTAGGGTTGCAGTGCTCATCTCCGTTTCAAAGCCGAAGAGCCAGCACTGTCCGAAGACGTTTCCGTGGTCATGTGGCCGGCGTGACTAAACACCAAGGTGCACGGAACGCTGTTACCTTCCCACCGAAGTGGTACCTATTTATCTACTTGCAATTTCTAGCTTTCGAACTGCTAGGTTGGCAGGAGCTGGAACTAGAGACGGGAGCTCACTCCGTCATGCGGCAACCCGGGTCTCGAACTGCTGAACTACTGACTTTCCACATGTATATGCAGTGAAGCAAAAATACTAACTAATGTATGACATGGAAGATACTTTTTGCTGGATCAGATCTTGGTTTCTAAAACACAAAGGAGAGCAATGGAAAGGCAGAGGCAGCCATTTGAGAGGGCTGGCCCGCAACCTGCTTTCAAAGGCTTTGCGACCTACTTTTGAGTCCTGACCCACAGTTTGAGAAACATTGAATTAGGCTGAGAAACACTGAATAGCCCAGCTACTGTAAGAGTTTCTTGGCAGAGTAGATATTTGATCCCTACCTCTCACTGCTCCTAATCTGATATTCTGTGATCACATCACTATCTTATTGTTATCTGTGTAATCTGTGCCCTGTTCTCCTTTCAAGGAACACAAACTCTTATGTAGCGTTTCAGAGCAAACAAAGTGACTCTCAGATTATTTTCAGACATCACTGCACCAAGTCTGCAAATTATGTTACAATAATTTATCTTGTAGTATCCCCATATTGCAGGCCCAGGGCTTATTAAGGAGAGATCTTATGGAGAACACCACCACACAACCACAATATTTTGGAATAAAAAACAAGCCACAACTTTTATTGATTACAGACGAAGGAACACTGGCAAAGCATGGGGGCAGATCCTGGCGAATCGAGTGACCTGTCTGCTCCTCAGTAAAAACTGTCCCACAGCCCATCTGCTGGGGAAAACCCAGGATTGACAAATATTGATATTACAAGGGCAGCTGCCACAGAGTGGTACCATTTGACACTGGGGATGAGCCTGGGCACAGGCCCCAACCTGGCATACCATGTGGTGGCTTAACACCCCCACCCCAAACCCCATATGGGAGCCCCCAAAGGGGGGAGGCAGACACGCCCTTCTCCCCTCAAAGGATCCACCCAGATGTGCAAAACCACTCAACTGTGAGAGTTAAAGTATACACACACAGAAACCCAAAATCCCAGGGAGGGTAGGTGGGGCTACATGCAAAAACTGTGCTGCTGGAGCCTCTGAGCAACGCACTTTAAATAGATCTGGGCAGGCTCTACATCACCCTTGCGTAGAGGCCACCAAAACTTCCTGCACTTCCCCAGCTGGTGCATGGATGACGTAGGCTGGCCAGCACAGTTGCCTGAGGCTCCTGCCTTTCGCCGTTTGCCCAAGAGCAGGAAGGCCTCTTCCCGACCCCTCCTAAGCCCATGCTGCAAACCGGCCATGTTGGGTGAGCCACAGCCCTGCTTGTAGTGCTTGTGCACTGGAGTTAAGACACTGCTTTTTTTTTGCCTGAGGCCATCTAGTTGTACTCTGTATTAGTCTCAGAATGTGACATTTTTACATTAAATTTGAGTCACACAGAGTTCTTTGGATTTCTGTCACACACCCAACAACTTAATGGTGTCTGATACTGGAGGAGTAAAGCATTTCTTGCAAATACAGAAGGATTAAAGAAAACAGCTAACATGCTTCTTTCCTTTATTTCATATTTAAAGCTGTCATTGCACAGAACAAAAAAAATCACTATACACAAAATAAGTAGGGTCTACTTTACTAAAAAGGTAGATCTTGATGGTCCCATTTTATTCTGCAACAATCTCACACAACTGAATAGTCCCCCTCATGGGAACAAGAAATCATACACATTCTGACATAATATTTCAAAGTAGCAACACTAGAACCCTTCACCATGACAGCTGATTTTTAATGGAATTTTTTTTTGTATGGGGGATTATTTAATAATGTGAACAGCATATTCCTGATATGGTTTCTAGAAACAGATTTATTGCCTCTGAGAACTAGGCCTAGGTTTGGCTAAAATGTTGAGAGCAAGTCTATTCAATGGGGCTTACTCCCTAGCTAGTGTTCTTCAGGAAGTCAATATGGCTACAATCCTAAACGTACCAAGTAAACTTTGTAGTTGACCAGACATTTGGATTTCTCCAATCTAGACCCAGCATACCTCATCTTAAATTGTTCACTGACTGATCAGCCTCAAGACTGAGAGCCAGTGTGGTACAGTGGTTAAAGTATCAGACTAGGATCTGGCGTACCCAGGTTTGAATCCCCACTCTGCCCTGGAGTCTTGCTGAGTGACCTGCACCCAACTCTCCGTAGACACATTCACAATGTGCGTCAGTCCCCTGTGGTTTTGAAGTCCAGTATTATTACTAAAGAAAGTGGAATACCACTATGAGTCACTATTATCTGTACGTATCTCTTACAAACAGGGCGGTAAGAATGACACCATCTTGAATCCTTTAAAAGGTGTGGTTTTAGGGCAGTTGTACTAACAAAGACAGAGAGGAGTAAGTTGTAGTAACACATCTTTCTTTGAACAATTATAGGAAATCCAAGATTGTTGTCAACTTCTTTCTTCAGTGGGATTAGTAGGGAAAACTTCCCTTTGAATGTGTTCCCCTCTTAACTTTGTCCTGAAGAAATAGGATTCACATTAAGAGGATAAACCCTTGTTGTCATGTTAAAGTGACTTTGTTGCAAGCATAATACATTTTTGGGGGTGCGGAAAAAGCATACACACATCCATATGTCACTGTGTGAAATGCTACATGCATGATTATCAAATGCGACAATCTACAAATAGCAGCACACTTTCCTGCATGGATGTGCTTTCATTGTAGGGAATCTTTATCCCTTAAAAGTTCAATCATTTCACACTGCACCTACACCCCTAGCCAGACCCTCACCACCCTGAGATAACTAGCTGAGTGAGACACTGCTGTGCAATAGCAAAAGAGGCCATGGCATTCAAACACTATAAATCCCACCCTTCAGAAATGGAACTACCCTACTGGGTGGAAAGTGTTGCCCAAATACACTCTTAAAAAGCAGGATATGTCCACAGTCCTCAAGTTGAGATGGCTATTGGTGGAGAAGACCAATGCAACAGCTCTGCCAAGCTGTTACCTCCACCTTAAAAAACCCAGTCAAACACTGTATAAGCTTTCTGATTAATCATTCACAAAATATTTTTAAATTTAGCAGCACTATAATAATTTATTTCTTCCTACAAAAGAGACAGTATGTATCCCTTCCAGCAATATCTGTGCAGTCGTAGATTTAAATAAACAAATTTAGAAATTTATTGAAATTTGTCAAAAAAAGATACAAAATCAATCTGGAGAAAGCAAACCAAACATGCTGCTCTTTATAAATAAGTTCAAAAACAGTTGCATCAAAACCTCTTCAGCAAACGCAAACACATTTCTAATATTTTAAATACTGTTGGCACACATCTTTGACACAACCACTGTGAATCTTTTATCTTGGAAGAAGTCCCCAAGTCACTATATGGACAGCAATGAAGAAAAATGGGTAGCACTATTAATTCTGCATTCATATTTTAATTTCTTGAGCATCCAGGAAAAGAGCAAATGGCAAATGACAAGAGTAAGATTAAACCAAGCCTTTTTTCCCCCTTAGGTCATCTAATTTTCCTAAGGAATCTAAAGAAAAGACATGCTCAAAAATACTTTTTAGAAAACATCCACAAATTCCCAAAAGTTTATTTTACCTGCAATTAAATCTTAGTTAGAAATGGGTCACTTCATGAAAAGATTGTTTCAGTATCAAGGACTGACTATTCTGGACTGATGCAGTATTTATTATTGTATGGAAATATTGCATCAAATATTAATCTACAGAGGTATAGGGAGAAGGAGGAGGATGGGAGAAGTCCTGTCTCAAACAATTAATCACTTCAGTGATGGGTTTCTAGTTCAAGAATTGTCCATTCCCCTTGAGGGGAAGAACAATCTTCAGAGGAAAAACTTGCCACTGTGATACTTGCTGAAGAATCATCCAGTGGAGATATCAGTTCAGTCCACCTACTGAAAGTGTCAATCTGTGCTTTACCCTGAGGCTGTGAACTGTCTCGTGCCAGAAATAGCGTCTGGTTGATGAGATATTGTGCTAAGTTAAGGTCTTCGGGAACAGAGTTTTTGATGTCCAAGTTTGACTCCTGATCAGATAACAATTGCCTGAGAAGAGTCCAGTCCTGTTCTGCAAACTGCTGATCTTCAAAATCCACATCTAGAATGTTCACTTCCGACTCCATCCTCTGCTCAAAAGCTTCTCCAACATCCATCTCATATATTGGAGAAAGGGTTTTTGGAGGCCGATGCTCATACATGCAGGTTTGTGTCAATCTGTCACAATCATCTATGTCTCCTGAAATAATTCATAATACTACACATTGTAAAAATTGCACAGTTTTTTCCCCTTCCACAGGGCTTTTGTACAGCATACTTAACTCAGTGCAGCAAGATCAATCCAACCAGGTAAGAGGTAAGAGGAAAAGATAACTGTATACAAAGTTCACAAAACCCCAAGCCATTCTTTTTGTTTTATATGTATTTAAAAAAATAAATGAAACAAAGTACGGCTTATAAATTAAGTAAAAGCAGCAATCACCACTGGCAATTGACAATAAACCTCCATACTTAGAAAAAATTTCTGATACAGAAAATGACAAGTTATGTAAACCAACATTTAATGCACATGGATTTCTAAATCACTAAAACTGTAACATAAAATAGGAAGGAGCAGAGTGGGGAAGGGAAAAAAACAAAAGGACATGATCACTAAAACAGTGACTTAAGCCAAGTCAGCTTCAGGTGAGGAAAAACAAAATGGTTTATTCAAAGGCTTATATTTAAAATATTGCACATGCAAAGGGCAGCTGCAAGCAAGGACAAGCAAACAAAAAGAGTTACAACTTGAAAAGTCATCAGTTTGCATGGTTCTTCTGAACACAAATCACTCTTTCATAATTCTTGAATACAGAGAGGTTTGAAAGATTCTGCTACTGCATTTAGTTCTAGGGGTGGGGGGGTACCATGTTGAATTCCTGTTTTAATGTAGACACAAAACAACTAGACAAGAAGTTAGCTAACCATGTGAAGCAAGCATAAGTTTAAATATATATATATATATAAAGTTTAAACCCCACTTTTTTTTTTTTTTTTTTTAAAAAGAACTTTTTACTGGGAAAATTTAGAACTACAATAATTTTAGAAAGTGTCTCAGGGTGCAGACCAGCTCCCACTGAAGCCACCGGTCAAAGTCCCACTGAATTCAATCAGCAGAAGGACAAGTCTGCAGTTCTGTGCAAAACAGAAACAAACTGCAACAATAATGAATATAGCTCTTAAGGTAAACATTGCAGAGCACTTTTAATTTAATATTAATGCACTTATTGCACATCCCACTTTCATATATACGAACCATACTGGCTGTTGAACAAAATGTCTATCCATCCTTACACTAACAGGTGATATTGCCAACGTCCTATTGGGACAAAAAAACTTGAAAACAGGGAAATGCACCCCACACTTAGTTTTGTCCAAGATAAATAGTCCCTACTGCCTGTTGGACATACCCCTAGAATATGCTAGGTAACTTTATACATATATGAAACGCTAGCATTTCATTCTATAATTATTTGGATAAAATTTATACATTTACTAGGCTTCAACCCTAGCTATATATGTTAAGATTCCACTAATACTTAATATCTTGAGGGACATAATGCTTTTTTATTTCTGTACGTTACCTGCAGATAAAGCAGTGTTAGCGTATTCAGTTGATGCTGGCTCACTTTCTTTCATGTGACCTTCCTTTGTCAGTGACTGATTCTTACAGAGATCTATAGGTTTTGTGGAGCTGTTCTTTTGTAACTCAGTATTATCTCTTTGATGAAGATCCAAGTGACAGGGTCTTTCTTGAGATTTTGTGTCACTGTCTAAAAGTTTAGTGCACTGAAGTTCATTGTTCTCTTCATTCTTGCCATTTTCATTTCTATCTTCGGTGGAAGGACAGCTATTTCCTACTTTCTCTGAATACTTTTGTTCTGCAGCTGAAGTACTCAGGTTATCTTTTACTTTCAGCTTACTGTCTTGAAGATCTACAGAAGAACTCTCATCTTTGTCCAACCTTCCTTTATCGTGTTCCCTACACTCCAGAAATCCATCCTCTATTTCTAATGAATATCTTGAATAATATGTTTTCCCTTGATGATCATGGGAAACACCATCAAACACATCAGAGGGTGTTCCAGCATCCACAGACCGCTGGAGAGAAATGTGGGCTTCACCACCATCATCAGATCCCAGTTCTTCACATTCATCTACTGAAAGTAATACAGACCGTTTAAAGTTCTTAGTTGCAGAGAACTCCTGACCTTCAGTATCATTTTCTGCTGCATCTTCAAATGCCAGATTCACTATTCCATGGAACTGCTGAACAGGAAGCTCTGAGGGAAGCAGGTTTTCTACAACATTTTCGTTTTCAGATTTTTCATCTTCTGTTTCATCTGCTGAAGAGGACACCTGATCTCCTTCTTGAGGAAACTGTGCAGTAGCAAAATTAGTATTCCCCCTAGAGCCACTCTTCCTCTCATTGTCTTTGTGAGACCATGTTTCAGGCTTTCTTCTAGGGAGCTCATCGTCACTTGTTGAAATAACCCGGAAGAGATCAGAGTTCTCCTTTTTCATTTTTACTTCTATTCTTAGACTAGTATCATAGATTTTTAATTCTTCAGGTGTACTTGTATCACTGCTGCTTCTTCCAAGAAAATCATGGCATAACATAGTGCTGCATTTTGAAATCCCTCTTTCATTTGATCCTTCGTCATCCTGAGACCCTCCAGCATCATAGTCTTCCGACCTTGGCTTTATATCATCTGACGATGTTGTTGCACTGCCAGTGTCAGATTCAGGGCTTTCTTTTGGATCATTGGAACTCAAATTCCAATGATCTGTAAAAGGAGTTTCTGAATTTTCATGGCTCTCTGGTGTTTCTGTGGTATCTGTGTCTTTCGATGAGCATTTTTCTGTGACATGTCCTGGGCAAGATTTTGAAGCAATGTCCGATTCTACTGTAGCAGACTGTGATTCGGTCAAAGCAGACTTGTCAGAGAACTCATCAGCACTTTCGGACCCTACTACACAGGCTTTAGAAGACTTCTTTTCATCGTATTCAGAATTTGAGCTGTCACTGGCTATTTCAGATAAGTTGTGTGTCAGATTATCATTAACACCCATTTCAGTTTCCAAGGTATCTTTAGGTCTATAATCAATTGATTTTCCTTGGTTCTTATTTTCTCCTGAATGTTTCAAAGGACTGTGGCAAGCTACAGGTTCAGTAACCAGTTCGCATCGTAGTATTCCTTCTTTTGAAACTGAAATGGTAGAATTCTCACTAACATTTTCACACACAGTTTTCTTATGCTCTTCAACACAATACAATTCAATAGCATTACATTCTTCACTATTTTTAATGCCTGGAGATTTATCACTTTTACAAATATGTTTTGCTTCCTTTTCATGTTCCATGGATGCATTCCCCTTTGTGACATAAGAGGGGTCCAAAGTTCCTTTGCAGCGTTTCTCTTCAAGGGGAGCCATTTTTTCTAATTCAGGTATGTCACTTTTATCTATTTCTAGTGTACATGTTTCACTATTATTTTTCTTCCCTGAGCTGGATTTGTTACTATTGTGCAGCTGAGCTCCTAAAGTGGCAGAGTTTTCAAGTTTTTGGCCTGAACTTTTTTGCCCTTCTCCATGAATACTCTTGAGAACAGGAGACTCGCTTCTGGGATGCTTCTGGCTTGAAGACTGGAGTTTTAATACAGATTGTCCAGCAACCATTTTTTGTTTTTGGTCTTTATTGTTCACTGTTTCATTCTTCTTGGAAGGGGTTTGGTTTTTTGATGTGACTATTATTTTTGCAGTAGCTTTAGCTGATGCAGCTTGTGCTGATTTAGATTTTTTCTTTGACGTACTTTGCTTCTCTGAGTTTGTCAGAAGTTGTGTCATGTTTTTTTCTTCATTTTGTTTTGGAGAAAGTCCAGGTCTCAGTGGATTTGGTGAATCTCCCTGTGGTCCTAAAGGAACAAAAACCTAAGATTATAATGCATTCTAATTAGCAAAGAAGGAATCATAGACAAGAAATCCAATATTTTTACACATGTGTAAAAGGGACGGGATTATAAAGGCATAAGGAGCCCTCAAAATTGTGCATAATGAACTATAACTGTTCAGTGTTATGTGGCTTGCAACAACCGAGGGAGATGAATTAACAATCAGTGAATGCTGGGTATTACATAGGTATGTCCACTGGCAGAAACTGGCCCATGGTCAGCATCACAGTAAAAAAACCACCAGTATTATAAGAGTGTATTTATTATACTGCAATTAATATTTTTAGTGGTCCCATTTTGTTTACTTACTTATATGTCCTTTTTTCTACTCTCCCAAGGAGCTTCAACCAAGCAATAAAAACATATTTTTAAAATCCCTGGTGTTTTAGCTTGCCAGACCTAAAGGTGAATTATTAGAATGCCATTTATTTTCAAATCAATCACTTGACTTCCCAGATGCCACTAAACTAATAAGATTCTGGCCCTGTTAATGACTCATGTTTATTCCCTAGAGCAATACAAATTTTGTTTAAGTTGTCAGAATACAATTATCCTAGTTGAAATATGGCCAGAAAAGATTAGGTTCAAATCCCATTATTTCAACAAATTATTGCCACACCATTAGTTACCAGAAGCCTGGACTATCTGGAAAGAAAGAGACAGCCAATTAGGAAACATGATTCAATTAGGTACAAACCCGTAGGAGACACGAGGGGGGATCATATGGAATTGGTAGACATGATAGCCATCCCCAAAAGTGGTCTGCAACTGCAGACTAGGGGTTTGCAACTAGAACCCCTCATCCAAATACACCCCCTTTCCCCCCAATGTTCAGTCAAAAGCTATGGCTCTCTTAACAATAAAAAAACAGCATTTGAAGTTTAAGTATTTAATGTCATACATTTCAATGTATACTACAATAGTACAGTTTATCTCTATCCACTTGCTCTAACAAGTGTAGAGTGCAGGATTTGACAAACAAACTGAACTGTAAAGCCTAGAAAATGAAATGAAAAGCTTTCTTCTACACAGCCTCAAGGATGGTCTCTTATAGCTATATTCAGTGATTCTATGTTTCAAGGGTTGCATAAAATTGTTATCCTTAAACTTCATGCAGTCTGATTCAACAAAGTACATTACAATCTCCTTTAAAAGCTTAGAAGTTCTGGAAGATATTATATTATGAAGAAACTACACTAAGCACAGCTCCTTGATTAAACAGAATTTGAAACCATAGTTTGAAGTGAGTTTGCAAAATAAGGTTAAGAGACAATTCGGTTAACATCCACAGTTAGCACTGATGTACCTGTAACACTTTAGTAAGAAAAGGTGAGAGGGATTTGCTTCAGAAATGGGAGAAGGGATGAATGGAGACAACTGAAAAATTGGAAACCATGGTTTGCAAGTAACCTGTATTACTTTCACAATATGGCTTAAATTGTATCGGAATGAGTTTACCTTGGTTTTTACCACCATTGGCATTCTTTGTCTTTTGCTGAACGGTAGAACAGACAACTTCATTTCTCTTTTTCTTCAAAACTGCTTGTGGTATGTGTTCATTGCTACCTTTTCCAGTACATTTCTTCATAGCACTGAAAAAGAAACATGTTTCTTATTTGCATTTTAAAAGATGAGTATATTACATATGTTAGCATTTCTACATGAAACGCATGGCAACAAAACATTAAAAAACTTAAGATAATGATACCATGTATTACACAGCACTTTGCTAACAAACAAACCTCAACTTTTGACTGCATTTTATTTCAGCATTACTGAGAGTTTAGAATGATTTGTGTTTTTACAGTTTTAAAATGAAGTTTCAAATGATAGTTTAAATATAAGCACCAGCATAAAAATCATCACCAACAAATCTCAGTTTACTAGCAGATCATTATCTGCAGTTACCATGAACCCCCTCACCCTTTCCAAATCTGACTTCTCTTGTTTGCTTTTATGACAACCTTGTCCAATTCCCTCACTCAAACACAGGGTTTTCCCTCTGTTTTTTCCTTCCTTTCTGGCTGTGCAGCCCCTTTATCTATTTTCTTCTTTTCTGACGCTTTATGGCCGTCCCACCCTGTCACAGTATTATATTCTGATGCTGGCTCAGCCCAGAAATTTGGGGTAAGAGACAAGATCACCCTCTTTAAACTTCTGAAAATGGCACACAAGAGGCATTAGAACATTCAAAAATAAACAAGATATTTTATTCAATGTAGAGGGGGAAAGGTGAGGTGAAATCAGGGGTAAAATGTCTGAGGTAAATTAATAAGAACTCTGAGGTAACTTAATATTTTCACAAACTACAGTTCATATGTTTTCAGCAAGTGAGAGTTTAAAGCTTTTCATGAAGTCGTAGAATCTTAGAGATGAGAGGCTTTGGTTTCAGTGTTTCCTAACACTCCAGTTCACTTTCTTGAGTTTAACTGACTCTTCAGGTTCCAAAAGGCAGGGATACACTACCAGGTACTCAAAGTCCTTCTCTGAACACTCCAGGGATCACTCCAATCTTTGAGCTATCTTTCTTATCAACTGAGCAAGGAATTTCTTCTCTCTACTAAATGATCTATCCCCTTTCCTGGCACAAATCACTGATCACCCACTCCTCCTAGCCAACCCTCTCAAGTCCTTAGTGTTAAATTGTTTTCAGCCAGAGCTGAACTCTCCTCAGTCAGAGTTAAAATTTTTCACAGTCAGGGCTAAACTCAAACTGAGTTCTTTTCAGTTCCCAAGTCTTTCTGGCTCTGTGAAGCATTAACTCTTCACAGTCCATTACGTTTATTCAGCACTTACGAACTTTTAATGTGCAGTTCATCACAACTCTGCACTATGGAGAACCTGAACATCAAGAAGTCAAAAGCAGTGACTAGTGGGGAGTTACACAACTTTATGGTTGACGGTGAAGAAGGTGAAATTGTTCAAGATTTTCTATTCCTCAGCTCCATCATCAACCAAAAATGAGAGTGCAACCAAGAAATCAGAAGGAGGTTGAGACTAGGAAGGGCAGCCATAAAGCAGCTAGAAAAGGTTCTTAAGTATAAGGATGTGTTGCTGGCGACCAAGATCAAAATAATTCATACCACAGTATTCCCCATTACTACTACTACTACTACTTCTTAATTTGTTTTTAAATGTTTTATGCTGACTCAGCACATGCTGCCGATAAATATGAGCCACCATAGGCCCACTTGCGGGGAGGGCAGGATAAAAATGTAATAAAATAAATAAATAAATAAATACTATATATGGGTGTGAAAGTTGGATAATGAAGAAAGCTGACAGGTTGATTCATTTAGAACGTAGTGTTGGAGAAGAGTTTTACAGATAACGTGGACTGTGAAAAAGACAAATAAATGAGTTCTCAAACAAATCAAGCCTCAACTTTTCCTAGAAGCAAAAATGACTAAACTGAGGCTATCGTACTTCGGTCACATTATGAGAAAACAAGAGTCACTGGAAAAAGACAATAATGCTAGGAAAAGCTGAAGGCAGCAGGAAAAGAGGAAGACTCAACATGGGATGGATTGACTCAGTCAAGGAAGCCTCAGTTTGCAAGAACTGAGCAAGCTTATTAACAATAGGACATTTTGGAGGTCATTAATTCTTAGGGTCAACATAAGTCAGAATTGATTTCACAACACTTAATACACACTTGGAGAAATTAGAAAGGGGGGGGGACATTTTAACTTCTCTAACCCTCAGCACAAAGAATCCCTCTTACAACTTGGGGGAGTGTAACATGATGAGGTTTGTGGAGCTTTGGTGACATCAACAAAAACTAGAATACATATTTTGAACTAACAAACAGCTTTAAAGCATGCTGGGCATCATGAAATGTATTTTCAGGAAGCAACTCAAATCTCAGTTTAGGCAATATGAGTATCCTGACTTCCAACAGACCTGTTTATTGGAACATTAGTCTCAAGTTCATTAACATGTTTTTTAGCAGGGGCTCCATTAGTCATCTTCAAAGTGGACTTTGTTTTCAAAGCTGTACAATGAAATAAAAATAAAATTAGACAGTTAAAAAAGACTTGATAAAGAGCATCTGCTGAAAGTACTGTCCCCCCCCCATATTTTTTCTGTTCTGAATATATGAGCCTTGAATATTCAAATTCACTTGAGTAACTGAGTGCTTCCCAAAAGTATACAAAAGGGATTCCAACAATGTGAACTTCTGATTATCCATTCTTTTTGTATGTGACCCTGAAGTTATTCAACTAAATTAAATTAAATCAATACATAAGAAGGAAGTACAAGGAAAGTATTGTTATCATTAACCAACTATACCTTCAGAAGTATTAAACACTTGCAAACAGATGTTTCTCCTAATGGGCCAAGAACCAAGCATATGCCTGTCAACTTTAACTTTTCTCACAATTCTCTTTCCACTCCAGTCCAGGGATCGTCTGTGCTGCTATGCCCTTCTGCTAGCTCTCCAGGGCCACTGTGTGAAACAGGATGCTGAAATAGTGGACCACTGGTCTGATCCAGCACAGATCGTCTTATGTTTCTTATCTATCCTTCAGGATTTAAATGTATTATTTTTGTAAAAAGAAAGAATTAGGAAAACAAGCACCCACTTGTCTCTGAAAGTTGTTAGAATATTTCACAGTTAACAAACTGTGTGGCTAGCTTGGAATGAGTCTCCAGTCGTTACCTGAATGCTTTTTGCCTTCATCTGGTAACTTTTCCTCCTTGGGTTCATCTAGTTGTTCAATGGACATCCGTAGATCTGTGCTTGAATTGTCTGATTTGCTTAGAGTTCCTGCACCCGTAAGAAGAGAAGGAGATTCCTTTCCTGTGGCCTTTTTCAAAGGTTTTGCTTTAATCTGCACACTGGAGCTTCCAGGCAGTGCTTTTGGTCGGGCACCCGCAGCTTTAATTTCTTGATTTTTCATGGCTTTGCCACTTCCTGGATTTTTCTGGCCACTAGTAGGCAATGATCGCTCAGAATCTTGTTTTGTAAGCAAACCATCAGCCTTAATGTTTCCATTATTTTCTGTTTTTGGCTTTATAACAGCTCTAGCCTTTGGTGAAGGCATTTTCTCTCCCAGTTTGGGCTCTTTTGTAATCTTGCAACCAGTTTTTTTACCATCTTTCCCCTTTAAATCGTCATGTTTCAAAACCTTATTAGTGCTGTTCCTGTTGGTAGTCGATGTGTGTCCAGATGCTCCTATTCCATCAGATTTCATTTTATCCTGATTAGTGGAAGAACTGCCCCAACAGGTTTTTTTTCTGACTGCTTCCAAAGGAGCAGATTTGATTCCAAATGAATCAGAGTTGAACCTATTTAACTGGAGAAGAAAAAGATGATCATTCAGTAGAAAATCAAAACAAATAAATAAAAAACCCAACAACAAAAAAACAGGAGCAAGATCACTGCTCTTCATTCTGAACATTTAGCTATTTATTCAGATCAGCATAACTTCATTACCATACTTCATTACTCCCTTTCTGATGTTCAGAAAAAACATTCTGTCACTCTAGTATGACTAAAAACAGAACCCCAAAAATGAAGTTCTGCACACCAACAGTCAAAACTAGGCAGACAGGAACAGAGTTGATCACTGAGGGCACATAGCAAGTTTTATTGCCTGTGTGTGTTCTTTCCTTTTTCCACAGATGGTTGTCTGTGGAAATCTGTCCACCATCCAGAAACTGGATGGTCCAGCCCTCACTGACATGAATGCTACAGGAGGATATAATGTATCTATGAACAGAACACTCAGGATGGTTCACAATGGTTCTTGAAAGACAAGCCCTCACTTATCACACACCTTCCTGTCATGTTCAGCATTTTCCTAGTACTTACTTTTAGTGTCATTTACACATATTGTTAGCCAACTACTGGGCTTCAGGTCACCTTAGTTTCCTGAGATTTACAGTTCTAGCCTTAAGATAGTCAAGTGTGCCTTGATTATCTTGGTGCATTCTTTTATGCGTATGCACACAAACTGTGTTCAGATCTCCTACAAGAGCATCTCTCAGTTGGTGGTAGTTATCAAGCTGTGCATGCAATGGCTCATGTCAACTGGATAGCTCCATTATAAATGAAGCATACAATTTGCCTGGAAACATATAAAAGGAGCTTTTATGAAGGATTCCATCACAGACGTATGATTTCTGAATATCCTTGCAAATTCTGGCTGTTCCAAACATTCTGGTTTCAGCACAGCCTTTTGCTACACACCAAACTTTCTCCTTCCACAAAAAATCCTAAAATACAGCAATTAAAAAACCCATAGATGGACACTGGCTCAGATAAAATTACATCAATGGCTGCAGAATTAGCCAGGAGGACATTAGTAGATACAAGTTGCAAATTAGCAGATACTATTTTGAAAAGAAATAGTGCAACAGGAAGAAGGCCTGCTTACCGGGCTTTGAATTGGCTTGCAACTGTAAGAGCATTTTTTACCTGAGAACTAGTGAACACCGGCTTTTTGGCAGGTCTTCTGTCATCACCTTCATCAAAAGCAGCTGTACAGAAAAAAAAGGATACTTTTCTTTAGAAAATAAATACTGACACGGGGTGGGGTGGAGACAAGAACCCATCTTAGGGACAGCATCCTTTTTACAACAGTTAGGCTAGTGCTCTAACCAAATAAAGGGAGGTCCATTTTAAGACTGAAATTACCAAGAAGGGACGGACAGCATAGGTATGAAATACAAAAGTTGGAATGACAAGATTTGGGTTCCAATGGGATCTCTTCTATTGTTATTTATATAATTTTGATCAACAGAAGTTCTCATTCTACCATTCTGATCAACCATAGGCAAGTTAGTTTGTTAGCCATTACAACAGTTCACTGCATATAACAAATGTGACATGGCATTTGTGACTTAGAAGGTTCCTTCCATTCATCATAGAAGACATGTGTGAAAATTCGCAGACCTGAAAGCTTAACTTAGAAGCAAAAGCATCTTTATGGGCAAAATCCTGTTTTAGTTACAGAAGCCTTTTCTAGTCAGCCAATGAAGTGTATCCTATACCAACTTTCTAAATAAAGCCTGCTTGGATAATGCTCCCAGATGTGGGCACAGTAATGAGGCCTCTGCAGTGTTCCTGCTTATGTAAGCTACTCTAGAGAGATGCAAATATTAGAGGAATGTACATGTATCAAAATATTCTTTAATGGTATGAAACCTGCTGCGAAGAATTACAGAAGGTATTCTATCTGTTAATTATTAAGCTGAACTGGTTATTTTATGAATACACATATGTAAAAGAAGGTCAACTGCATGGACACACACACAAAAGGTTCTTATCTGTTGGGTTCCTTGGTGCATTTCTGTTCTGTCAGGAAATCCAAGAGGCAGAAAATGGCACCTTGGGAGTACTCTTTCAGATTGCTATATACATAACATCTTGATAAAATTAAACAATGCACCTTTGGGAATCAAAAGATACTCCTAACCTGGGGGCAGAAGAATTGTGATGTTCTACATCTAAATTTCTGTTTTCGCCTATTTCCAGAATTTTAAAAAGGGAGTATCCAGTAATCCCTAAGCTTAAGTTTAACAACTAAATATTTCTTCTTTAAAAGCTCATGAAAAACTGATGCAGGTACCACCTCTGCCTGTATACATACAATCATATACAATCATATAGTTTCCATTTCTTTGAGAACTGCAATTAAAATACAACAATGAATGCTACACATTCTTCAAAATTATGAAAATAAAAACTTTTTACTAATTGAATGACACTGACTTCACAGGCACACTGTCAGTTAGTATGTCACATCAATAGACCTTAGTGCCTTTTCACATTGTCTGACGCTCCAGAACCAACTTCATTTTGGACATGACCCTGAGCTACTGATACACAGAAAAGCAAGCAAGACCACTTAAGAAAATAATAAGCAAACCTCAATGAAAGCCTTCACCTTACACTTCACCATCTTGTTTATACAGTTTGCACCCAAGGAACAAGAAAAATATCCTATTTTTTCCTATTATGTAGGTATCCATTTATTACTCCTAAAAGCTTTGCGTAGCGCTATAATCTTCTGTGTAATCCTGTTTCCTTTATTGGAAAACTGCATGGCTGCAGCACAAATATTCAAGCACTGCCCCGAAGCCATTTTCAGATCTTTCATCTGCAAGGTTTCATTCCATACATTTGAAAACAAAGGGGCCAGAGCAAGCCTCCCTTTTGTCTAAACCTGAAATTGTGCTGGTTATGTTTTTATAAGCTTCTCTGCAGCTTCTTTAATTACTCTTCTGCAGCACACACAGTATCACAAAACCAAATTGATTGTGAAGTCGATAGACACAATTTATTCAAAGTACATGCATTTTTTTTTTAACTTGGGCAAATGAAATCTTTCTATAGTATGTATCATAAACTAAAATCCACCACTCGATACATACATTTGATCAGTAATTACCTCAGAACAGCCCTCTATGCCCATGTGCTTTAAAAAAAATTAATTCTACTGCAACATTTTAAATCTCAGTACAAATGTAAAAGCCACCCTTTCAGTCTTGGTGATTCCCACATATCTGCAGTAATAAATGCACACAAAAGGGCCATGCAATCCTTCAGCTTCCATGATTGGAGCTGTCCGAGCTGGTTATCTTTGTTTATAATTCTTACATAATATTCCTTTTTTGAGAGCAGAACACATTCCAGCCATTATTAATTACTGCTCCCGTTATTTCTTTAATAAGGCAGAGCCTGTTATGCAAAGCGTTAAGCTCCCCAATGGCTTGCCTACCTGCTTGTATTTTCTGTTGATCATCTGCCTTCAGCAGCTTCCAGCTCTCTGTGTGACGAACAGCGTAAAAAGACTGAACCAGGAAGATCCACAGCTTATCACGCAGAGCCTGGATCTTGCACGTAAACCCCTGCGTTCAAGCAAGAAATCAGCAGCTGGAAAGAGCCACATTGTCATAGCAACCAGTCATTATTCCTTACAGAATCTACTTACTCCTAAGCTAGATCAATGATGTCATCACTTAGATTTTATGACTGTGGAGTGGATGTGTATGAGGTTTGTGAAGGCCAACTGTCCCTGCACCATGATTTTACACAGCTTGAAACCAAGCCACTCCCACAGAAGCTGAAGCTCATAAAGCATCAAGCCCCCTTTTTTTAAACAAATGAATCCCTTCCTAGCTTTTTTACTCTTGGCTATGTCACTACAAGGTCAAATCCTCTGGGGGCCAATAATGTATCTGATTAAATTTTCATCACTCTTGCCGAGTAAGTCAACAATAGAAGTGGCTTGCAGTAGCATAAAACCAGTAATTTATGTAGTTTTTGTTTGCAAAACAAAATCATTGTGCCGAAGTATAAACCATGCCATCTGGCCAACAGGCATCATCCATGAAAAAAATATTTTAAAATTTTTGTTGATTAAGACCATGGAAACACAAGGGTTTCCTTTCAGGAGCAAACCTTGTTAGGAAGATCTTCTAAAGTAAAAAGCTAAGTAATATTTCAGATCTCTTAATGTTCATAGCATTTGTTCAGTGTTACATGTATAATGACAAATAACTGAATCATTATCCGGTTTCTTTATTTTGGCCCATGGATGGGAAAAACGCCACCACAAGATGATGATTTAATAAAAGAACATACCTTATATAAAGTGACAGCTGAATGGTCCACCTAATCTGCTACTAAGATTGCAAAATATCCTGGTAATTAGTTATGTGACCCCTGGCAGGGAGGGTGGTGTAAAAGTGAAATAAATAAATAAATACATTCAACCCATTTTCTTTTCTTTTTACAGAATGCAGCCACTGGGGCTATGGTTTAAAGGGGGAGATTCAACCAATTCCATTCATCCTGTTTTCCTACTGAAATTCAGAAGGCCCCAAGCTTCTTTATTAAATATGTGTACCTTTATTTCTTTTTTCTTTTCTTTTTTCCAAGAAGGGACATTTTTTTTTAATGTTGCAATGGGCTGTAGAAGGGAGCGGAGGGCGACCGCCTGCCCATTTCACAGGCTTCTCAAATCCTGCAGGACAACTGCATACTCCATGGCAGGTGCTGATTCAGCATTTAAAACAGTCCCTGGGAAAGCAGCCCCCAGCTGAAATCCCCACCCCACCCCCAGTCTGCTGGCCCACAGAGGAGGCCTCTGCACCCCACACCCTTCTTCAGTCCAGAGCCCACAGGAAGGGACCACAGCTCCAGCGGCGTGGGCAGGGGAAAAGGTCAGTTCTTGGAGGGAGGGAGGGAGGGAGGGAGGGAGAGAGAGAGAGAGAGAGAGAGAGAGAGAGCGAGAGAGCGAGAGAGAGAGAGAGCGCTTTATTTATTTGTTGCTTTAGACAGCCTCTGGACCAAGTAAGGAAAACTGTGAGCTCTCTCTACTGAAGCTACAAGAAACTTAAGTTAGGAAATGTGCACCCCATTTTTTTTAATCCAGATATCAGAAAGCCCAAAAATATCAGTATTCCCACTTAGTCAGGTTCCAAATACTGAACCTGCAGGATTCTGATACTATCCTGCTCCATTATCCCATATGGGAAATCTTTCCAGGGGGCTGGAGGGGCTGCTTTTAAAGCTAACTGCAAAAAATTGCAGGCCAGCTAGTGGTGCCTGTCCTCTGAAGCTCCCTCAAGTTTCAAGTATATTGGGTCAAAGGGTCCAGTTCTATGGGCCCCTGAACAAGGTGCTCTTAGCCATCCTCCATTGTTTCCAATGGGAAGGAAATTCCATGCTTTCTCCAGGTAAAAGCCAAAAACAAACACAGTGAGAATGCTGCAACAGCCTCCCATGCAGACAGAACCAATGAGCCCAGAAGAACCAATGGCAATCCACAGAAGCCCAGAAGAACCCAGGGCCAATGTGGAAGTGCAAGGCCAACAAACCAATATAAAACCAGAGAATCTCAGCAGAGCAAACTTAAGCAAGCAGGGGGAGCACTTTTGCAAGCCCAGAAGAACCAACAACTCTCCACTGAAGCCCCGAGCCAATGTGGCAGAACAATCCCAACAGAACCAATGGCAATTGACAGAAGCCCAACAGAACCAGAGACAGCCAGGCAAACCTGTAAAATACTGACACATACAAACCCATACACTAATACTGGTTCTGCCTAATGTGCAATTCCATTTGCCTGTGACAACTGCCTCCTTCCCTCCTCCCTCCTGTTCCCTGGCAAACCTGCTAAGGGGGGGGGGGGGACACAAGCTGCCTCAGAGAGCTTTAAACATTGAACTGCCAGCTCTGGATATACCTGGGACTGGATTTGACATAGACCCTCTGATGTGTATCCAGATCTGGATAGATCTGAAAAACACCGATAAGGTTTTTTCCAGGTATATTTTCAGATCAGCTATATCCAAGTGCACATCCTTAATTTAGAGTACATTTCAACAGGAACACGGGCTGAGAGGAAGTATTATGTAGCCCAGAAACAGTAACAGCATACCCTGAGGTTGGGCAGCTGCCAGAGCCCAAGACTTCCTGCAGTGCCCATGGCCACCAATCCCCTGCCTACCATAGGCGTAGAGTTCAGGGGGGCGCAGGGGCGGGGGCTACCTCCGAAATTTTCCGGGGGAATCTCAGCCTCCCCCGGGGCTTGTGATGCTTGCAAAAACAAAACCCATCCCTCTTCCCGGTTTGAAAGCGGAGGTTTTTTTTTTCTCAGAGCCTGTGCTCGTCCAGCCAGCTCAGCTCCTCCTCCTGGTCCCCTCTGTCGGCGGAGGGAGGGCGTGACAAACAGCGCCAGGGGTCTGCTGCCGCAGAGGATGCCGGACCTTCTAATCCCCGCACTTTGCTGGGGGCGGGGACTGAGCAGCCTGCCGGGAGAGTTTGGCCCTGGTTCCCACGTGCAGCAGCCGGGTGTGCCTGGCGAGGAGAGGGCGGGCTCCGCAAGCCCGGGAGGGGGAGGAGGAGGAGG